GGGGCGTTTGCCCGGGCGCGGGTGCGGGTGCGGGCCTCCCGGGTGGTCTTCCCACCGGGGGCCGGACGCGGGGCCTCCCCGGGCGCCGGGCCTGGCTCCTCGGCCTCCGGGGGCTCTCGGAGCTGCTCTCCTCCGGACCTGCGGGATGGGGCGTTTTTGCATCGTGGGGCCCCTCCCAGGCCGGAAAGCGGAGCCAGGCCTCTCTGGGCCCCGGGGAATGGAAGAGTTGGCTAATTCGATGAAAAATAAAGGGGGGGGGGGGATCCAAGCTTTTAAGAAATATGGGGACGACCAGAAATTTCTTAGGCAGGGAGGGGCCGTGACCCTGAGTCTTGGGTCCCGGGGCTGGGCCGGGGGCGTGGGGCCTTCTGCGTTTGGAGGAGGGAGTGCGACCTGGAGAGGGACGCGGTGGTCCGGTCCTCATCCCGTGGGGTTGACAGGCGCCCTCCCTTCGGTCCCGCTGGGCCTTTTCCTGCCTCGGGGCCGAGGAGCGGGCTTCCGGGGGCTGTGCTGGCGGGACGGCTGTGGGTGTCCTCCATGGGGCGGTGCTGGGGTCTGGGAGAGCGGCCCGAGGGGCTTGGTGGTGTCAGGGTGTCCCCATCGCTTGGGGCAGAACTTCTCAAGGGTTATTGGTGTGTCTGTTGGGAAAGGCAGGAAACTGCTCCTGAGGCAGTGAAATTAGGTATATACCAGGAGGACGAGTAAAAGCGATTTCCCCAGGTTCTCTGGAGACTTTTGTGAGGACTTTTAAAATAGAGCCTGAAGTTTCCCTCTGTTTTCCAGTGTGAAGTGGCACTTCTCAAAGTATTGGCAACAGCCTCTTCCCGGCTCACCGAGGTGCTTTGTTAGAGCATTTTTTTTCATTTATTAAATGAGCATTTAAAAATATGTCTATTGATTTCAGAGAGAGGGAAGGGGAGGGAGGGAGAGAGAGAAACATCAATGATGAGAATCCTTGATCGGCTGCCTCCTGCATGGCCCTTACTGAGGATCGAGCCTGCAACCCCTGTATGTGCTCGAATTCACGTGACCTCCTGTTTCAAGGGCTGATGTTCAACCATTGAGCCACACTGGCCGGGCTAAATGAGCATTTTTTGAGTGCCTACTATGTGCCAGCTGCAAACACTTTACAGCTTCCTGGACTCCTCACTGAACCACTGTCTCTGGGTGATGCTTGGGAATCCACTTTTGATACCTGGTGATTTAAATAAAGTACATTGAAGTTTGAGAACAAGTCACCTAGGGCAGAAGTGGCGAAACACAGTCAGCTGACCAAATCCAGCCTGCTGCCTGTTTTATACAGCCCATGAACTAAGAATGGCTTTTACATTTTTGAAAATGGTTGGGGAAAAGTCAAAAGAAAAATAATGTTTCATGACACATGAGAGTTATATGAAATTAAAATTTCAGTGTCCAGAAATAAAATTGTGTTGGGTCATAGCTGCTCTTGTTCATTTATATCAGTGATGGCGAACCTTTTGAGCTCGGCTTGTCAGCATTTTGAAAAACCCTAACTTAACTCTGGTGCCATGTCACATATAGAAATTTTTTGATATTTGCAACCATAGTAAAACAAAGATTTATATTTTTGATATTTATTTTATATATTTAAATGCCATTTAACAAAGAAAAATCAACCAAAAAAATGAGTTCACGTGTCACCTCTGACACGCATGTCAAAAAATGAGTTCACGTGTCACCTCTGACACGCATGTCATAGGTTCGCCATTACTGATTTATATGGTGTCTATGGCCGAGTAGCCTAAAATATTTACTGTCTTGCTCTTTGTAGATAATGTAAAGTTTGTCGACCTCTGGCTTAGGGAAAGGAGGAAATATGGTAGAAAAAAAGCATCTGTCTAGAAAAGTTGTGTTTAAAAAATTAATAGATAAAATGGGCTTAGGTAAAGTTTATTTTATTTTATATTTTTTCTAATCCTCACCAAAGACGTTTTTTCCGTTGATTTTCAGAGAGACTGGAAGGGAGGGAGGGGGAGAGACAGGGGCAGAGGTGCAGAGAGAGAGAAACGTGGATGTGAGAGAGACACATTGATTGGTTGCCTCCCATACCCCAACGTGGGGCCAGGGATTGAGCCTTGACTGGAATTGGATCCAGGACCCTTCCATCCACAAGCTGAGGCTCTATCCACTATAATGCAAAATGTTTTATAGTCTTTTGAGGTTATTATAATAACACTCTACAAATTGGCTAGGGTGTAAATTTTATTTTTATAAAAACAGGGAATGGTGTATTCTGGATTAATGCAAAGCATTTAGATAAATTTAGGCATTTAAATAGGATTTTCATAGAGATTGTGAACCCGTGCCCTTAATAAATTGGCTAACTTATGTTTCTTTTCATAGAGTGGGTGGACTCATGGACCTGATACTTTTCTCTTGAGAAATAAACTAGATCAAAAGAAAAATGGCATTTGTTGCAACACAAGGGGCCACAGTGGTTGACCAAACCACTCTGATGAAAAAATATCTTCAGTTTGTCGCAGCTCTCACAGATGTAAATACCCGTGAGTTGATCCTTTTTGTCATTAAGAAATGCATTAATTTGACTCATTCATCTCAGTTCAAAGAATGTGCACATGGAGATAAATAATAACATTAACTTCTATCCGAATTTCCTTTCTCTGCCTTGTGGAGAAGCAAAGTGATGATCATTACTCGCTAGAGCCCTGAAGAGGCACGTGTGTGTGTGTGTGTGTGTGTGTGTGTGTGTGTGTGTGTGTGTATCCTTGTCTGTGCACGTACACATGTGTGTCTGGGAGTATGAATGTGCGTGACTGGTTGTAGGGAACTAGTTATGTGCCTTCTGTTGGACTATGACAGTCAAACTGATAAGATCTGATTGCTTCTCTTATTAAATCCAGTAATTTTGAGATCATCCTTAACATAATTTCAATTACCTGATATTTTTTTGGTTATTTTACAGCTGATGAAACAAAGTTAAAAATGATGCAAGAAGTTAGCGAAAATTTTGAGGTATGATCTTTATATTTTAGGCTTTTCATTTTGAGCTAAATATTGTCCTGGGCTTTTCTATTGCTTTTCTGTCAATCTTTTTACTATAGTAACAAAAAAAACATTATCTCTGTTAATGTACTTTATTGTATTCTAAAAGTGAAATTTGCAAGTTTGTACACAGTGTTGTCCAACTTGTTCATACTAGTGATACTTGCCTTGGTTTTGGTTGTTTAATATTTCCTTTTTTTCTCTTTTTTTCTTTATTTTAGAGAGAGGAGGGAAGAGAGAGAGAAAAACATTGATTTGTTGTTCCATTTATTTATGCATTCATTGGTTGATTCTTGTATGTGCCCTGTCTGGCAATCAAAACCGGAACCTTGGCATATTGGGATGATGCTCTAACCAACTGAGCTACCCAGCCAGAGCACTTTTTTAAAATTTAGTTTAAGTGTATTTTATTTACTCACACCAGGGCATATTCATTCCATTTTTTTTAGAGAGAATGGAAGGGAAGGGGAGAGACAGAGAGAGAAACATTGATGTGAGAGAGACATATCAATTGGTTTCCTCCCATATGCAACCAGTGCTGGGGATTGAGCCTGCAACCGAGGTAGGTGCCCTTGGCTGGGAATTGAACCCGGGACTCTTCAGTCTGCAGGCCAACACTCTAACCACTGAGCAAACTGGCTAGGGTGAGGGCACATTTTTTTCATTTTTAAATATAGTAGCTCTTTTACCCATATATCCTCAGGTTGCATTCAGACTTTTGCTGTGAATTTATGTTCAGGCCATAAATGATATATTTCTATGGAATGAGAACTGGATATCAGTTTTGGCTCTATTACTTATAATTTCTGTGATCTTGATCAAGCAGTTTTTTTCCCGGGCTTTACAAACTACAATTATATTGTCCATTAGGTCCCTCAGGCTCTATTCATTTTTCAATTTTTTTCAGTTGTGTATTAGATTGGATAATTTCTAACCACTCTGCAGTCAAGTTCACTGACTGTTTTTCTGTCATCTCTAATCTGCTGGGATGCTATTTTTAAATTTCAGTTTTATATATTTAGTTTTTGCATTTAAAAATTGCAGTTATTGTACTTTCAGTTATAGAATTTTCATGTGGTTCTCTTTTTAAATATATTTTTATTGGTTTCAGAGAAGAAGGGAGAGGGAGGGAGAGATACAAACATCATTGATGAGAGAGAATCATTGATTTGCCTCCGGCGCGCCCTCTACTGGGGATTGAGCATGCAACCCAGGCATGTGCCCTTGACCGGAATTGAACCTGGGACCCTTCAGTCTGCAGGGCTGACACTCCATCAACTGAGCCAAACAGGCTAGGGCTCCATGTGGTTCTTGATAGATGTCACTTCTCTGCAGATTCCCTGCCTTTATTTATTAATTTTCATATATATATTTTTTATTATTTTTTAAATATATTTTTATTGATTTCAGAGAGGAAGGGAGAAGGGGGGGGAGAGAGAGAGAGAGAGAGAGAGAGAGAAACACCAATGATAAGAGAGAATCATTGATTGGCTGCCTCCTGCATGCCCCCTACTAGGGATTGAGCCTGCAGCTTGGGCATGTGCCCTTGATTGGAATCGATCCTGGGACCCTACAGTCCATAGGCCGATGCTCTATCCACTGAGCAAAACCAGCCAGAGCTATTTTTATTAATTTTAAATAATTTTATTGATTTCAGAGAGGAAGGGAGAGGGAGAGAGAGAAAAATCTAGGATGAGAGAGAATCATTGATCAGCTGCCTCCTGCATGCCCTCTATTGGGGATTGAGCCCACAATCTGGGCATGGGCCCTGATGGGGAATTGAACATGACATTCTGGTTCATAGATTGAGGCTCAAACACTGAGCCACACCAGCCAGGAAAAATGTTTTATAGTCTTTTGAGATTATTATAATAATAGGTGAATTCGAAGTGAAAATATATACACAAATTAAATGAGGTTTTCTTTTATTTTTGTATAATTAGAATGTAACATCATCTCCTCAATATTCTACATTCCTGGAACATATCATCCCTCGCTTTCTTACATTTCTTCAAGATGGAGAAGTTCAGTTTCTTCAGGAGAAACCAGCCCAGGTAATTTGTTTAAAACTGTCAGTGAGAAAAAAGTGTCACATAGTAGTGGTGGAGTGCGGGAAACGTGTAAACTCGGGCCGATTGTAACTGCGTATTACCAAATATTTGTTTGTAATCCACCCTAACTCTGCCTAGGGCTTTTGCCTGCTTAGTTAAATGTCTTGGTTTTTTTTTGTCAAGACCATCTCTTTTATAGTTTAAACTAGAGGCCTGGTGCATGACATTCGTGCACTCTGGGGGAGGGGGGCGTCCCCTCAGCCTGGCCTGCACCCTTTAGCAGTCCGGGAGCCCTCAGGGGATGTCCGACTGATGGCTTAGGCCCATTCCCAGTTGTAGTTTATTATCAGTAGTTATGTATAACAGGGTATTGTAAAAATTAAGTTATGAAATTTTTATTAAAATGTTTCTTATATACCATTATATTGGCTGGGCTGCAAAAATATTCGTTGTGGGCCTCTGTGACTTTGACATGCTTGATGTACACTATTACAAATGAATTGGCATATATACAAAAGAAGGAACAGTAGTCTGTTGACCCTCCCATACTCGTCCAACTGTATTCTTATTCATTTCAATTCCTGTAATTCATGGCTAATTTTGTTTTACTTATAGCTCCACCCACTCTTTTTACCTCCTGCTTGTCTTTATTATTTTAAAACAGTCCCATCACATCGGTTTTTTTTTTCTATAAATAGTTCAGTATGTGTCTCTTAAAAATATCTAAAAACATTACCATAATACCAGTGAAAATATACTGCTAAATCTTTTTATGCTGTACTAGCTCAAGATATATATATATATATATATATATGTATATATATGTGCATATATATGTTTGACCTACCATTTATTTATTTTTAAAGAATAGTTTATTGATTTGATTTTATTTAAAAAAAATATATTTTTATTGATTTCAGAGAGGAAGGGGGAGGGAGAGAGATAGAAACATCAATGATGAGAGAGAATCATTGATCGGCTGCCTCTTGCACATCCCCTACTGGGGATCGAGCCCGCAACCCAGGCATGTGCCCTTGACTGGAATTGAACCTGGGACCTTTCAGTTATCCACTGAGCCAAACTGGCTAGGACTAGTTATTGATTTTAGAGAGAGGAAGGGAGAGGGAGAAACCTCAATGTGAGAGCACATCGATCAGCTGCCTCCTGCATGCCCCCTATTGGGTATTGAGCCCATAACTTGGGCATGTGCCCTTGATTGGGAATGGAACTGGCAGTCTCCTGGTACAAGGGACGATGTCCAAGGAACTGAGCCACACCGGCTAGGGCTGATCTACCTTTCACTTGTCAGCTCCATAGTTAGAATCATGAATGATTAGTTCAGTTTATGATGAAATTAGTCATCGGGCCCAAGGTAATTGGGGAGAACATTATAGAAGCTAAACTGAGATTAAGGAGGGAGATCTCAATGAAGTTCCGTTTGTTTTGCTCTTTCATTTTAAATCCACTCTGCATTCACGCACTAGTGCCCTTTGTGCTGAAAATAAGGTGTGAAAGAGGAAAAATGTGACTCACTTGATTTGCTACACAATTGTAGAAATACTGTACTTGCTTTGGATTACATTGAAATAATATATAGGAGTGTTTCTAAAATGGGATTGATCCTGGGGTGAGGTTACCAGTGCTGGGTACGGACAGCTGTGTGACACTTGTAGAAAGCAAAAGAATTATTTTGGACCTCTTGGGAGGATTTTACATTTTTTATTTTTCTTCACCAGCAATTGCGGAAACTAGTTCTTGAAATCATTCATAGAATACCAACCAATGAACATCTTCGTCCTCATACCAAAAATGTTCTGTCTGTGATGTTTCGCTTTTTAGAGGTAACCTTTGGGAATTCTTGTTATTTTGCAATATTAAAAACTTTAAATGAGTTTCTTCATGTAAAATCTAGTGTTATACAACTGTTTCCCCTTCACTAAAGTTTCTAATGTTCATTTTCCCAACCAAATTACCATGAAAGATTATTAATTAAAGTTTTATTTTGTTTTCGTATTTTTGAGTCACTGAGAAATTGACTCTACATAGTAGAAATCTTTCTAAGTGAGTTGGGTGGTTGTTGACAAACTCGGAGTACAGGGTTCTTTGGCTTCGTGCTTTCTAGTTTTGTGTGTGTGAAGCACAGTAGGTGCTCATAAAGAGTCTCTCCAATTCTTGGGGCTAATTCATCTGGTACCTGTTAAGTTAATCCCTAAAATTGTTTTCTTGCTGTACTTGTCTTGAAGTGTTTAGAATTCTATTGTGTTTCTGGGCCCCTTGGAAAGATGAGCTTTGGAGGGGGGAGAGAATTGGATTCAGATCCTGGCTCTGTCATTTATTAGCTGTATCATGTTAGTCATGTTGCTTATCTTCTCTGAGCCGTAGCTTCCTCTAGGTATAGTGTGGATGGCACCTCATACTTAGAGAGTATGTGTGAAGTGGTAAGCACAGGGTTCAATACTTGGTGGGTGCTCAGTAATTGTTCATTCTTTTGGCAATACTTTCAAGCAGTGATAAGTGTCAGTGGGGCCATTAGACCTTAGTTCATAGTGTGACTTGCCACAAATGTCAGTTAACTTATCTGCCAGTGTTATTGATCAGAACTCACTGGTGCGCTGCCCTTCAGATGGTCCACCAAAGACCATGAAGTCTTCCTGTTTGGGCAGCGGTGTTTTATGACTTAATGAATTTTCAATAAATCAAATCTAAGTTGGTTGATGCAGTGTGTGTATAAAGAAAAATGCTTAGAAAATAGTCTTTAATCTTTAGATTAAAATAAGTCCTCAGAATTGTAACTCTTTTAAATGCTTTTTTTTTAAAAGACGGAAAATGAAGAAAACGTCCTTATTTGTCTAAGAATAATTATTGAGCTACACAAACAATTCAGGCCGCCCATCACACAAGAAGTAAGTATCCTTAGAGCATTTCTGTAGTGTGCTTGCTGACAGTTCTTTGTGCAGTGTAAAATTTTATTCTCCTTTAGTATTGACAGAACACATGGTGCTTAAAGTGTAGAAAATATATAGCCTCTTTGGGGAAAATTCTTTATAGGTTAGCAGTTACCTTTTCTATGTTGAATGAGTGTATGAGTATTTAACTGAATTTGTTTCGTCGTGTGGATATGTGTTAACTAACCAGATTGGCAGAGCTGTTTGGGTGCTTCTGGTATTCAGAAATGTCTGATGTGCCAGAAGGCTCTGATCATTTTATGTTATTCAAGGGTTAAGATGTGTTTTGAAGTCAGCTGGGTTTGAATATCCACTCTGCAACTCAGTAGCTATGTGAAACTGGGTAAACTTATAGCCATTTGGAGCCTTTTCTGTACAATGGGGACAATCACAGTATATCCTCAAAGATTGCTTGAAGAATTAAATATAAAAGTTAAAGTTCTTAACATAGTGATTAGCACCTACACAGTAAGTATTAGATACTCTGTGTTAGCAGTAATTAATACAGTGTCTTCTCTGTTGATAAGCTTAGTAAATGCCTGTTATAGATTATTTAGAAATTAGAAGCAAAACGATGAAATAGAATTCCTCCCATCTTAAAAACAATATTGATTGCCTTTCACTTTTCCCACCTTCTATATATGTAATATTTTCTACATGATTGCAATAATACTGTATATGACATTTTATATTATGATCGTTTCCCTTCACATTATATATAAGCATTTTCCCACTCAAATTCTTTATAAAATTAATTTTTCATGGATGTATAATATTCTTACATATGGGTACCCTCATTTTTGGATATGTAAAATATTTCAAAAATTTTTATTTTATGACTATGATTGAATATCTGTTTCTAGTTCAAATTGCTTCATAAACCAGAGTTATTGACAGAATTTCTAGGTCAAATGTGTTAATGTTTTAATGCTCTTGATAAATATAGTATTAAACTGATTTCCAGAAAGGTTTCAGTAGTTTATGAGCGTCTTCCTCCTATGGCAATCTCTCTAGCATGGTGTAAAGAAGTGGCATTTATTTTACTTTTTATTTCTTTTGCTCCTTCTGAATTAGAAAGCTTGTTTTCTGTTTGTCAGTCTTTTGTATTTCTTTTTTGTTCACATTCATTGCTTGTTTGTGTTTTGAGTCTGACATTTTTCTTACCTATTTTATGAGTTCTTATATATTAGGACTATTAACATTTTTCTTGCTTATTGTAAGCATTTTCTGTTTATAAATATCTTCTGTATATCTTTTTTTTTTTTAGATTCATCATTTTTTGGATTTTGTGAAACAGATTTATAAGGAGCTTCCAAAAGTAGTGGTATGGTTTTAATATTATTTGAATTTATTACTTATATTTATTTATTACTTTCTTATTCTAAAGGGATTTTGGAGCACTTGCGTTGGAGGAATAATTGGAGGATGCTAATTTTAGAATGCTAATTTTAGAGTGGGGAATGTTTATTGATAGAATCTAGGTTGATAAATCAGTCATTTAAAAAAGTAGTTCTTTTGGTTTCACTGTTTAAATTAAATACTTTAATATATTCTTATTGTAGAAATTTTGCAAAAGCAAGATAAATCCATAATGTTTTGACTTGTAAGCAACCACTGACATTGATGTTTTGTACTCTTTAAAGATGGTTGTGCTCACAATTATAAAGCCTTTTTGGAGAGGTAGTGTATGCTTTCAGCATTTTTCTGTATTATTAAATTTTTTGTTGTTGAAAGAACTCTTCCCAAGCAATGCCAACAATGTAAAAGTGTGTGGACTAGAACAGGAACATCTCCTCTCCATTTTATTTTCACTTATTAGAAGGAATCGCTATTAACAGTTTAGAACATCCAAGATCTTTTTCTGGCAGTCGTAATTTTAGTGGCCCCATAATTTTCTATCATATGCATGTACTTCAACCATCTCTCTGTTACTGGTTTTCTCATTTTTCAATTTTTTACTATCACAAATAATGCTTTGGTAAAAATTTATTGCATATAAGTCTGTTTTTACTTTAAAGAATTTTGCTAAGCTTAAAAAAATTTTTTAAGTGAACATATGGTAAAATTAACTTTTAGGTATTTTAAGGATTTTAATCTGCTAATGTGTCAAACAAAATTAATTACATTTTGAGTTATCAAATTGTGTCACCTACCATTTCAGACAGTGTTTTTTTTTTTTTTGATTACACACACACACACACACACACACACACACAGACTCATTCACATACTCATGTCAGTCAGTGTTTTTCATACGAAGCTGTTTCGTTTAATATGAGGTCAAACTCCACTGAGAACTAAGGGATGACAGTGAGGTCCTGGCCTTTAAACATGTCTTCTGTTCTTTGCTTCGGGTCTCATCTTTGTTCTCTATTTAGGAGACTATTTGAAAAGTTAATTCAAGAGGGACTAGCTCCTAGTTTCTTATCACTGGAGGGATGGGGGCCATTCTCCTTGCCTCACTGAGGTTTAATGTAACCTGGCATGCATTTCATCTTTCCTCAGCCAGGAAGGAGCAAAATATACTTAGGACAAGTTTTTATTTTCTGTTGTGGAAGGTGGAGAAATGTTGTCTCTGTCACGTTGTCTTTTTGGTATTGAATAGAGTGGATCTCAAGTACTATGGGATTGAGCAGGATACATGTGTCAGGGCTATTTTGTGAAGGAATGTTGTGTATGACTTTATTAGGAAAAACCATTTCTCTTGTTCTTATGTAGAACCGCTACTTTGAGAACCCTCAGGTGATCCCTGAGAACACAGTCCCTCCCCCAGAAATGGTTGGTATGATTACAGCAATTGCTGTGAAGGTCAATCCTGAGCGTGAGGACAGTGAGACGAGAACAGTAAGTTTTTCCAATTGTTTTGCTTTTGTTTTTAACTATGTCTCTCTACTTGGTAGACAAATATATGAGAGAGTGACTTTTTAAACTGCTTAAGTTTTTTGTTTTCTTCCTTAAACACTTGGAGGCATTTAAGATGAACAAGTGTGTATGCATGAGAGAGCATCACTGATTTTACTGTGCAGCCTCTGAGTGGTGAAAATGAACTCTTGCTTTCATGCAAAGGTATAAACAAAATTGTAGTGCAAGTCCAGAGCACCTGTTGGAAAGAGCAGCTGACCAGTCTCCGTTCCATCCTTAGTATTGATATTTATGAGTCCCTTTAAACTACATATAAATTATAGTTCAGTCCCTGGGAGCCTGGGCTCTGGGGACAGAAGTGCTGGGATGATGTTCTGGCCCCAACACTTGGGTTTTCTGACTATAGGAAAGTTCATGAACCTTTGTTTTGGCCTTAATTTTCCCTCTCATTATCTGAAAAACTTGTCTTGTGGAATTTTTTGAAGGTAATGCTAGTAATTGTCTGCAGGTAATGTATTTGTAATCTCTGCCACATAGGTAATGTGTATTGAGCATTTGTTGACTATATTTTTATGATTGAATTAAGAATATCATTTGTATTTGCTTTACTGCAATGGTTTTACAGAATGTTTTATTAATCCTCACCTGAGAATATTTTTTTCCATTGATCTTTAGAGAGATTGGAAGGGAGAGGGAGAAATCCATATGAGAGAAACACATGGATTGGTTGCCTCTGCACATGCCCTGACCAGGGCCAAGGATTAAGCCTGCAACTGAGCTACATACCCTTGACCAGAATCAAACTCGGAATCGAACTCAGGGTCCTTCAGTCCGTGGGCTGACGCCGTAACTATTGAGCAAAACTGGCTAGGGCTGCAGAATGTTTGAATTTGTGCTAGGATAAATAAGAAACTGCATTTTGAATAAAAATAAAGCTTTCATTTCTTTGCTCTTCTTGAATTACAAACTTGTTTTCTGTTTATGAGTCTTTGTTTTGTTTTGCTTGTCTGTTCCTATTAATTGCCCATTTGTATGAGTGTGACATTTTCCTTACCTGTTTTTTTTTTTTTTTTTTTTTAATATATTTTATTGATTTTTTTACAGAGAGGAAGGGAGAGAGTTAGAAACATCGATGAGAGAGAAACATTGATCAGCTGCCTCCTGCACATCTCCTACTGGGGATGTGCCCGCAACCCAGGTACATGCCCTTGACCGGAATCGAACCTGGGACCTTTCAGTCCGCAGGCCGACGCTCTATCCACTGAGCCAAACCGGTTTCGGCTTCCTTACCTGTTTTATGAATTCTTTATATTAGGACTATTAATTTTTTTTCTTAAGTTTATTGCAAGCATTTTCTGTTTGAATATTTTGAATAAAACTGGGTAAATATGCACTTTCTGCTATTGCTCTTTTAAGTAAAATACTAGATACTAATTTAAAATTTTTCTCAGATGGCCCTGGCAGGGTCGCTTAGTTGGTTGGAGCGTAATCCTGTACACCAAAAACGTTGCAGGTTCTTTTCCTTGGTTGGGGCACATGCAGGAGGCAGCCGATCGATGTTTCTTTCTCTCCCTCTCTCCCTTCTTCTCTTTCTAAAAATCAATAAAAACATATCTTCTGAGGATTAAAAAAATACACACACACACACACACACACACACACGTGTGTGTGTGTGTATATATAAATTTTTCTCAGGTGATTTGAATTTCTAAGTTTTGACAAATTTTCCCGAAGTTATTTACTACAGGTGATTACATTAGGAAATATAAAAACCTCTATTAAATCATAGTTCTATGTACTTTATTTTAAAAATAGTTTGATTCTTTCCCCACAGATATTTACAAAGATGTATCAGCATTTTCTATTCCTTTTATTTCAGTGGGGCAATGCTCAGTAGTGGGGTACTGACTGGGGCTGTTTTAAGTGCCACCAGGATAACCACAGTCTGCTTGTTTTCTCTTTCAGCATTCCATCATTCCAAGAGGATCTCTTTCTCTGAAAGTATTGGCAGAATTGCCAATTATTGTTGTTTTAATGTATCAGGTATGTGTATTGTTACTAGTTTCTTGGGTTTTTGGCTTCTTATTTTATGATAAAGTTCACATCTAATAATCTGTGGCAAATAGATGTGTATGATACACACATGCTAACTCCTGTAGTTTCTTTGGTATGCCAAATTATTTTGCTATGCAGGAAGTGTAAAAGCATGAAAATCTGATGTGTTTGCTTTTAGCTCTACAAACTGAATATCCACAATGTTGTTGCTGAATTTGTGCCCCTGATCATGAATACCATTGCAATTCAGGTGTCTGCACAAGCCAGGTGAGATTTCTTTGGACAGTGACAAAGCTGACTGTCACATTGCTTTAATTCCAAGTAAAAATACATGCTGTAATTATTCGTAAGACATAAAATTTTTAAGTGATAAAATTTTGGGCAAATTATATTTTTTACTTTTTGAACTTGTATTTCAATGATGATAGTTATAGTTATTTTACTCCTTATTTAAAAAGATGAGCTAAAGGTATTAAACCTTGGTTTTTGGTGTTTCATAAATTTAGAACTATTATTAGGAATTACTATATTCTAGATTTCTATCTGTGGGATCTCTAAACCTTTCTCGCCTTAAGCCTTTCTTTGTTCTTGCTGTTCCTTTCAGCATGAGTGCTAGAATGTTCTTTACCCCCTTAATTCCCCCACCCATCACTCTAGGTCAGTGGTCGGCAAACTGGCCCCTTGAGTGTGGCTCTTCCACAAAATACCACGTGCGGGCGCGCACGTGCAGTGCGATTGAAACTTCGTGGCCCATGCCACGGGGCCAAAGAGCCGTATGTGGCTCATGAGCCGCGGTTTGCCGACCACTGCTCTAGGTGAACCATATTCATTCTCTCAGTGAAACTTTTTCTCAAACTTTATACATTTCCTCTTAAGACCTTTAACACTCACTTTCTTGTGGCTATTTGGCTCGGTGTCATTTGAGGGCAGGATCTGAGGGTGAATGAGTGTTAACATCCTCTGTGGCCCTAGCATCGGCTCTTATTGAGTAAATAGATAGCCTAACACTGTTTGGATGAGTGGCTTTATGGGATAAACATTGTAACTGCTATGGAATGAATGACTTAGAGAACTGCTTGCTTTATGACTCTAAACCCTTTATATTATTTGGAAATGCATAACAGTGAAGAGTGTAACTGTTGCTGCTATGTTCTGGTCTGTGCAGAAATCAGACTTTTGGGCTCAGTAATTATTATAGGCTTTTAATTAATGTTAATGTCACCTAAAGAGTTAAGAGCTAATAATGCAAATTTTATTTATTTCTCATTCAGGCAACATAAGCTTTACAACAAGGAGTTGTATGCTGATTTCATTGCTGCTCAGATTAAAACATTGTCGTTTTTAGCTTATATCATCAGAATTTACCAGGTAAGTTCATTTATTTAAAAAAAAATATTTTTACTGATTTCAGAGAGGAAGGGAGAGGGAGAGAGAGACAGAAACACCAATGACGTGAAAGAATCATTGATCAGCTGCTTTCTGCAGGTCCCCACTGGGGATTGAGCCCAAACCCTTGGGCATGTGCCCTGACTGGGAATTGAACGGTGACCTCCTGGTGCATAGGTCGATGCTCAACCACTGAGCCATGCCAGCTGGGCATGACTTGTTTTAAGTTAGGTTTCTTGAGCTATAATTTACATACAATAAAGTTCACCTTTTATAGGTAAACAGTTCTATGATTGACAAATGCATATAGTTTGGTACCACCAACACATCAAAATATAAAATGCTTCCATCAACCCCTCAAAATTTTTCTTTTGTACATTTGTAGTCCACTTTCTCCTCCCACTTTCAGGCTCTATCAAGCACTAAAAATGGAGCTTTTGGTTTTAAAAATTTTAGTTAGGTACCCCTTGATATTTTAGTCAGCTTGAGTCACTATGGTGAGTTGTCTTGCTAAAACACCTCAAAAAGAGATTGTGATTAGAACTTATTCTGAGTTGATTAAGCATGTTTTTGGTGTCGTTCAGAACTTACATTAATGGGATGACATACTAAAGAGTATCTTTTTTTAAAATTTTAATATTTCTCCCTCCTTCTCCTTAGCATAGTATATATTCACTGTTGAAAGTTGAGAAAAGTACAAAAAAAGATGTCTATAACCCCATTATGTAAAATAAACTGCTATATATGTTTCTAACCATCCTTCTAGTATGGCAGTATGCACACACAAACTATTAAAAATTTTTGTATAGTACTTGTTTATTAGGCCTGTTAATTCCTGGGGGTCCTTTGAGCCAAGTTTAGTTTTACTGAATTTTTAAAAAAGTTTATAAATTTTGGGTTTTTCTTAATATCCACCAGTCAATGTAACTGTTGTTTTCCTCTTGTTTTTACAGGAGTTGGTGACTAAGTACTCTCAGCAAATGGTAAAAGGAATGTTACAGTTGCTTTCAAATTGCCCAGCAGAGACTGCACACCTCAGAAAGGAGCTTCTAATTGCTGCAAAGCACATCCTCACGACAGAGCTAAGAAACCGTATGTCTTTTGTCTGGAATTCTGACACGAGTGCCATCTACATCTTTGGGGGTGGCCGGCACTCTGCTGACATTCCATTGTTTTTTGTTTTTACATTAAGAGTTTGTTAAGGGAACTTACATAGGAGATGTGTCTTGGGCAGCAGAAGGTGACATGGGTATCCTTCTGATACTTCCTTGTTGTGGGAGTCTTTAGCTCACTCCAGTGCTTATATTTTAGGCTCAACTTGTCCTTTTCTTATTGTTGTCTTGAGTTTATTCTTACCCCCTTTCTCTGTCTGTCTGCCTCCCTCTCCTCCTACCTCTGAGCCTGCCACCAGGGTCCTCTCTTTATCTTGTCAACGATCTCATAATGAACGTGATGATATCCTCAGCATCGCTTACTTATGTTCTGAGTCTTCCTTGGTACCTTTTTGCTTTTCTTTTTTTTTTTTTTTTTAAATATATTTTATTGATTTTTCACAGAGAGGAAGGGAGAGGGATAGAGAGTTAGAAACATCGATGGGAGAGAAACATCGATCAGTTGCCTCTTGCACATCTCCTACTGGGGATGTGCCTGCAACCAAGGTACATGCCCTTGGCCGGAATCGAACCTGGGACCTTTCAGTCCGCAGGCCGACGCTCTATCCACTGAGCCAAACCGGTTAGGGCGCCTTTTTGCTTTTCAACAGCATATCTTTCGAAATTGCAAATAGCCATTTGCTCTCAGACTTTACAATATGGGAAGGAAACAATGATTTCTTTCTCCGTGCTGTGAAATAATGAATTGGTTCTGTTTCAATGCACAAGACCGATACTTGCTTTTTGCTAATCTGATAATTACACTTTTTCTATCAGTTATTGAATTTTAATTGTTAAATACTTTTCATATTTGATATATTCAAATCATTAGGTTGAAGTTACATCCTAATTGTTTTGTTATGATAATCATTTCCCCCAGTAATTTTTTTAATATTAAATGCTTTATATGCTTGTAAATTAGAGCATGGGTAAAACTGAGATTGGGCTTCCTTATATAGTTTTTAAGGGTACAGTTGAGTGTTTACACTTGAATTAACACAGTAAAGAAAGCTCAGATATTTTTGTGTTATTAAAATACAAATTATAGTGTGCCTCTTGTATGTAGATATTGCTGAAAGGAAGATAGACTTAAACATTATTTTGAAATGTAACACATAGAAAAGTGCACCAAAAATAATGTATGATTTCACCAGAAATTATGGAACAAACATAAGTGCAAGTATCACCCAGGTTGAGAACTTGAGCATTGCCAGTGCTCACAGCCCACTCGCCTTGAGAGCTGACTGCCATCGGGACTTGTCTGGTGGCAGCTTCCTTTGCTTTTTGCCTTTCCTATGTGTTCATCTCTAATAGCAAAATAGAATAATTTTATTTTCTATTTACTTTTATTTTTAAAATAAAATTTTTAATTGATTTTTACAGAGAGAGGAAGGGAGAGGAGGGGAGGGAGGAAGAGGAGGGGAGGGAAGGAGGGAAAGAGAGAGAGAGAGAGAGAGAGAGAGAGAGAAACATCGATGTGAGAGAAGCATTGGTTGGTTGCCTCCTGTATACACCCCAGCTAGGATCAAACTTGCCACCTGGGTATGTGCCCTGACTGGGAATTGAACCAGTGACCTTTCGGTGCATAGGATGGTGCTCAACCAGCTGAAGAATTTTAAAAGAAACATTTTAAATCTACTGAAGTTATTGGGTTGTGCCTTGAGTACTATTCTCACAGTAACTTTCGGTATTCTGCCGTTTAAGTAAAAGGATTTTGGAGGTGCATTTGGGAGTTTTGTAGCAAGAGGTTTCTACTTCTTGAAGTGCTGATGGATTAAAAACTCCTCATGCTTTCCATCACGCACAGCCAGGCTCTCTGAGGTCATACGGCTTGGTTTCAGTTTTAGGGAACCTGTTCCACAAAGATCAGCAGGTTTCCAAAATGCTACTCTCCAGGGATTGATCACATTAGCCTTGTTGAATTCAGCCTTTAGGATACTTTATTTTAAAGCCCATAGTAGCTCTTGAAGTTAATAGGTGATAGCATCACATTTCAAAAAAGATTTTATTAGAAGAAACATGGAAAGAATCTTGTTAAATATTAACCACATTATTATAAAACTAGAGGCCCGATGCACAAAATTTGTGCATGGGGGCGAGGTGTGTCCCTCAGCCCAGCCTGCATCCTCTCCAATCTGGGACATCCCTCTCACAATCCAGGACTGCTGGCTCCCAACTGCTCGCCTGCCTGCCTGCCTGATTGCCCCTAACCTCTTCTGCCTGCCAGCCTGATCATCCCCTAACCACTCCCCTGCCAGCCTGATCGTGCCTAACTGCTCCCCTGCTGGCCCCGTCACCCCTAACTTCCCTCCCTTGCCAGCCCTGTCATCCCAACTGCCCTCCACTGCAGGCCTGGTCGCCCCCAACTGCCCTCCCCTGCAGGCCTGGTTCCCCCCAATTGCCCTCCCCTACAGGCCTGGTTGCCCCCAGCTGCCCTCCCCTGCAGGCCTGATTGCCCACAACTGCCCTCCCTGGCTGGCCATCTTGTGTCCACATGGGGGTGGCCATCTTGTGTGTTGGAGTGATGGTCAATTTGCCTATTACTCTTTTATTAGGATGAAAAAATGTACGCACATAGTTACATTTCACACATCCACTAACATTTTCGCATAGCTTAATGTTTTGGCATCTCAGATGATATCAAATGGTAACACATTTGCTCTAATTCTGAAGAGCAGTAGTTTTAGAAAACCGGATGGTTTAACAAAGTTACCCATTTTCCCAGAGATTCTGGTTCTTGGTCATGAGGGGGATCTGGAAACCAATGCTGTGCCACTTAATTTTTTATCCCTTCTCCTTGATCTTATCCCCTAGCCCAGTGGTTCTCAACCTTGGCTGTACATTAGAATCACCTGGCAATCTTTTTAAAATTCTGATTTCTGGGCCTCATCCCCCGGAAATTCTGTTTCTTTGTTACTAATGTTGTGGCCCCACCCTATAACAAATGTGCAGCCAAGGTTGAGAACCACTGCCCTAGCCAGTCCTCCAGCATGAGACATCTGTGCCCTTTGCACCTTTCCCTCTGTGCCTCCTTCCTCTTGGCCACTTCACTGAGGACAGTCCAGGGATGTTCCCTCCTCCGACCTGGGAGGGACTCCCTGTGCTGCCGTACTTGGTTATTAACTGGAGACGTGCACTGTGTTTCTCCAATGTACATATTTCTTTTATATCTTTGACTCTCAGCTGTTTGCTGGTGAAGAATGTACTTTATTTTTTTTTATTGTTTTTTTTACAGTGATTAGAATGTACTTTTTTTTGATTGAAGCTGGCCATAATGGCAGGCTTGCTCCAGAATCTGAATGTCCTTTGGATGTTTGTGGCCCGAGTTCCCCAAGGGGCATATGGACTAGAGGCCTAGAAAATGCAGGTTGCTATCCTGTCTGCACATCCTCAGAAATGTGAATTGTCCCTGAGTGACCAGTCTTTCTGGTCTTGAGGCCTGCAGGGGGGAGGGAGAAGGGTTGGTGATGGTTCTCTCTGCAGGACTGGAGGAACAGAGGAGCCCCATCAGTTTCTAGTCAGTTTCATCCAGGGAGTTGGGACCCCTAAGCCCATTTCTTTGAGAACACTGAAATTTCCCAGATCTTTGTAATTTATTATTCTCCATGATGACTAACAATAAAATGTTTAAGAAGGGCGACCCCAGGGGCATTTAGGAGACACTGCCCCCTTCTCAGACAGGTTTCGGTTGATGGTGGCAGCTTTTAAGGATGAAGGAATGTGCCTCCAGTGAAGTATTGGGGGCGAGTTCTCTGCGGGGGCATATGAAGCTGGTGTTCTTAGTCTATTCTGACACTGAATGTCAGCAGATGGCTCATGCGGCTCAGTAAAGCCAATGTGACTAAAATACAGCGTGCGTGCCTTTCTCTTCACCCTTTTTAAAATCTGGATTGCTAATTGACTGCAGGTTGGCTACTATGAAAGTACTGTTATGTAATGTGTAATTGGTTTAGTTGGTGATATATGCAATGGGTGTTTGTGTTCTAGAGTTCATCCCTTGCATGGACAAGCTGTTTGATGAATCCATACTAATTGGTTCAGGATATACTGCTCGAGAGACGCTCAGGTATGAGATTAAACCCACGAAATCGGCTGATGAAATGCGAGGGAGGGGTGATTTCTGGCACTTTATGCTGCAAGCGTTTCAACAAGCACTGGCTGTTGGGCTCTCACTTTCATTGAATTTAGAATTGCAGGAATTTTTGAAATGCCTTCAGTTGCTTTTTGTGCTTTAGCTTAAAGGGAAAAATCAGAGTAGTCATTTAGATTTTAACGTAGGTATAACTTTATCTGGCTAGCATTCCTTTTTTTTTCTTTTTGTTTTATTTTTGCTTCCTATATAATAAATTAATCTTTTCATTATAAAAGAATATTTTATAACCTACCAAGAAGAAAGAAGGGAAGAAAACTTTTTGGTCCTGCTCTAGGAGCTCAAGTAACACAAATAATATCTTGATGTATTTCCTTCTAGTTTTTATTTTAGGCATTTTAGACAAATGTAGTTATGATCATGTTTATTGTTTCTCAAGGAGAAAATTAACATTTAGTCATCTTTAAAATGTAAAATTAATCAACATTAGTAATTTTTTGGCTTTAATAAGCGAGGTGTGATGGATCTTTTGAAAAACATGCAGTACACTATGAATATGATGTAGACCATATAAAAGTTATAAAATAGTAAGTAAGACATTCTTTATAACTTGGGGTTGAACCTTCCTGTTGTTGGACATTAGATCATGTCACTGCTGCTAGAAACTCTCCAGTGGCTTTCTGTTGCCATTAGACAAAGACAAAATCCAAACTCTTGTTTTTTAAATATATTTTTATATTTCAGAATGGAAGAGAGAGTGGGTGAGAGATAGAAACATTGATGATGAGAAAGAATCACTGATTGGCAGCCTCCTGCACACCCCGTACTGGGGATCAAGCCCACAGTCAGGCATGTGCCCCAACCAGGAATCAAACTGTGACCTCCTGGTTCACAGGTCCACACTCAACCACTGAGCCATGCTGTCTGGGCAAAACCCAGACTATTGACTGTGGTGTGCAACTCCCATGGGATTTGGCTCTTCCCTCCCCACTCAAACTGCTGTAGCCACACTGGCCTCTTAGCTCCTTGGCTATTCTAGGCCGTTCCCATTCAGAGCTTTGTCTTCCCTGTTTCCTCCATCTGGAAATATCCTTACCTTTTTGCCCTAAGGCTGCTTATTGACCTTAAGGTCTCAGTGTCAATGTCACCTCAAAGGGACTTTGTCGGGCATCCTATCTTAGAGTGGTTTTCCCACCTTTCTTACAGTGCTCTTTTCACATCTCCAAGCACTAACCAATTTATATACTTTGCCTGTGTATTTCCTCTCCTGAAAATAAGCTTCCTGAGGACAGAGTTTCTATTTATCTTGGTCACTGTGGTATCCTTGGTGTCTAGCCCAATATCTGGCAGGTGTCCAATTGTTTAGTGAGTGAAAGCACTTTATAACCCTGACGTTTGTGTCTCTATAAAAAGGCCCCGTACCAGGTAGGGCAAAAGTAGGTTTACAGTTGTTCTTATGGAAAGTAATACAATAATTAATAAATCATAATACAAAATAAACTGTTTTTACATACTTGCAACTATAAACCTATTTTTGCCCTGCCCTGTATATAAGGTATTAATTGATACATACTATTTATCTTTGAGCAACAAAATCCATTCAGTGCATAATTGAGCTCATGTTAATTCTGTGTGCTAGTGTTGCTATGACATGCATGAATTTGGAAAGTAAAGATTTAAACACCAAGATTAGAGTGTCAGCTGTGTAGCTGGGGAAACCGGAAAGCTATAAAGCAGTGATGGCGAACCTATGACACGTGTGTCAGAGGTGACACGCGAACTCATTTTTTTGGTTGATTTTCCTTTGTTAAATGGCATTTAAATATATAAAATAAATATCAAACATATAAATCTTTGTTTTACTATGGTTGCAAATATCAAAAAATTTCTATATGTGACACGGCACCAGAGTTAAGTTAGGGTTTTTCAAAATGCTGACACGCTGAGCTCAAAAGGTTCGCCATCACTGCTATAAAGTGTGCCCCAAATGTCCTATCCCAGTGGTGGTGTTCCTGGGCAGGTAATGGTAGGGAGGGTGGCTTGGAGATGTGGTCCTGGGGGAACGTTGAGATGCACACTAGCAGACGTCTCTTCCCACAGGCCCCTCGCCTACAGCACTCTGGCTGACCTCGTGCACCACGTTCGTCAGCATCTGCCCCTCAGTGACCTCTCCCTCGCTGTCCAACTCTTTGCCAAGAACATTGATGACGAGTCCCTGCCCAGCAGCATCCAGACCATGTCCTGCAAGCTCCTGCTGAACCTGGTGGACTGCATCCGCTCCAAGAGCGAACAGGAGAGCGGCAACGGGAGAGATGTCCTGATGCGGATGCTGGAGGTACCAGCTCTCCAGATAGGTCCCCATGCTCTTTAATCCCACTTGCTGCTGAGCTTGTACCAGTGCTTTACTGGCAAGTTTATGGAGCTGCCAGTTTGCCTGGCGTGACCCTAGGCATTTGATTACTTTGGTTTAAATCCCTGCTCCCCCATTAACTAGTCAAGTGTGTGTGAGTGGGATGCTGAACTTCTCTTCTAACCAGGGATACTCTCTGTCTGTTGTATAGGGTTGTTATGAGAGACAAATAAAACAGCACATGAGACCTCTGAGTACAGTCTGGCAAGGGTCCTGAGACACCACATAGTATAGTGCTCAGATAGCTGAGAACATCTCTGGCGAGGTGCCCCATTGGGGATGTGGGTGAGGGATAAAGTGTGATGCCTGCTGCCAGCAGGCAATTGTATGGACCATGGAGCAGTTTTTGTCCTGCCTGTCTGGCCAGTTGTCAGCTGTCCTGAGTGGGGTCTTCACCGGTGTAGTGGAGATAGTGATACATTGATAGTTACCGGAGGGGAAAAATAGCACACTCTCTTTTTATACAAAGCAGAATGATTTCAGCAGATGGTTTCAGAGAGTGTTTCTTATCCTGTCTTCTGATAGGGTTGTTGACCATTTTAAAAGAATGATTTTTGTCTTATCTCTCCACTTTCTCATCCTGTTAGGTTTTTGTTCTCAAATTCCACACCATTGCTCGCTACCAGCTCTCTGCCATTTTTAAGAAGTGCAAGCCTCAGTCAGAACTCGGAGCCGTGGAAGCAGCTCTGCCGGGAGTGCCCGCTGCCCCCACAGCTCCGGGCCCTGCCCCATCCCCAGCCCCTGTTCCCACCCCAGCCCCAGCCCCACCTCCTCCCCCTCCCCCTGCCACCCCTGTGACCCCAGCCCCTATGCCTTCCTTTGAGAAGCAAGGAGAAAAGGACAAGGAGGACAAGCAGACATTTCAAGTCACAGATTGTCGAAGTTTGGTAAAAACCTTGGTCTGTGGTGTCAAGACAATCACGTGGGGCATAACGTCATGTAAAGCGCCTGGTGGTAACTATGCTCTTGAATTATTCAGACGAACAGTGTTTGGCAGAGTGGGTTTTATTCGCATTGACTTATTATGCTATCTCTTTTCCAGAAGCTCAGTTCATCCCTAACAAGCAGTTACAGCCCAAAGAAACTCAGATTTACATAAAACTTGTGAAATATGCAATGCAGGCTTTAGATATTTATCAGGTAAGGCAGTGCCCTTAAGCCAGTCTATTGAAATTATCCCTTAAAATTAGAGATGTTAGTGATGGAACAGATCTTGAGAGTTCTGTTATTTTTGGGTGGTCTACAGTATTTTACGTCCAAGTTGCTTTTGTTCTGTAGCACAGCATTGAATTTATGGTGAGAATTTCTGTTTATAAGTGTCAGTGGGTGTCTTTTGGGGGGAGGTGGTACAAATGGAATGTAATAGAAATAAGATTTAAGTTTACTAAATTTGTTCCTTTTTGGAACTCCTAAGAAAATCATTGTTTTTTTAAAAAATGATTTTCTAGCCCTGGCTAGGTTGGAGGGTTGTCCGTACACTAAAAAAAGTTGTGAGTCCCCAGTTGGGGCATGTACGAGAGGCAACTGATCAATGTTTCTCTCTCCTTCTCCGTCCTCTCTCTAAAAATCAATAAAAACTTCCTCGTGTGAGGGCTAAAAAATTATTTTCTAAAATTAAACTAAGAATAGAGAATTTGAAAGATTTCAGAGGGGTATTTATTATCTAATTCAAGTGCTCTGTTTTAAGTATGCAGCTGATCTGATTAGGTGATGGAATATATTCAGAGATGTTTGATTTTAATGCCCATGGTTTGTTTTTTTCCTATGTTAGGTCCAGATAGCAGGAAATGGACAAACATACATTCGAGTAGCAAATTGCCAGACTGTTAGAATGAAGGAAGAGAAGGAGGTATTGGAACACTTTGCTGGTGTGTTCACAATGATGAATCCCTTAACATTTAAAGAAATCTTTCAAACTACAGTCCCTTATATGGTGGAAAGAATCTCAAAGAATTATGCTCTTCAGGTATAAAACTCCTTTCTTATATACTTTCAACATACATGAATTCTTGGTACTCTGTTTATTTGGAGGATTTTCTAAATATGATGTGTAAGACTGTGCTTTTAGAGCAAAATTTAGAGAAATATAAAATTTCCCTCTCAAAATCTCAAGATGCTTTGGACCAGTTTTCATTAGTAGAAATTCAATATGTGTTAGGTATAGGCTCTTGGTGTTTGATGGTAAGGACAGAATAACAGATTAAGTACTTGAACTGTTCCACTCAAGGCTCAGTATATCTGTTTTTTTGTTTTTTGGTTTTTTTTGGTGAGTAATTAATTTCTGGGAGTGTCTGATTTTGTGTTTTTGGAGTATATTTCTCTTAAAGCTGTTTTGGGGAAGGGATTATTTTTTGTAACATTCTTTTCTTGTTTTGATAGATTGTTGCCAATTCCTTCTTGGCAAATCCTACTACCTCTGCTCTGTTTGCTACAATTCTGGTGGAATATCTCCTTGATCGCCTGCCAGAAATGGGCTCCAACGTGGAGCTCTCCAACCTGTACCTCAAGCTGTTTAAATTGGTCTTTGGCTCAGTCTCCCTCTTTGCAGCTGAAAATGAACAAATGCTAAAGGTAAAGCTTATTTAGATTCAAGTAGTACTTTGTTTTAGGGTTTGTTATTGTTTAAGTCTTGTTTTCACTTTTGAACAAAAACCGGAATGGCTCTTTTTATATTTGTAAAGTGCTTTTAGAGTTAAAATATTTGCAACAAATAAGGGCCAAGTATGGAACACATTTCATGTATTTCTAAGCAGAGCTTAATTTATCTGGTGATTTAAAATGAAAATTTCATAACTCCTATGGTAGGCAGTGGATTATCATTAATATTGCTACCACTAGTTTTCTCTTTTAAATTCAGTTTTTTTTTTCTGGTTTACACAAAATTAGAAGCATATTATCCTTATTTTAAAAATTAAGTGATGCAAAAGATTATAGAAGGGAAAAAAATGTCTTCACTTACCTCTCAAATCTGATGAGATATATCAGCCATTTTTCACTTTAACTTTGTTGTGTATTCATATTCTCTGTGGCAATACATAAACATTCCTGAATGGAATGTTTAGATCAAGAATTCTAAGCATTTGTGTTCCTTAATTCAGATCATCTTGGAGGAGTGTATCTCCAACATTTTTATAGATGACTAATCTTGTATAATTTGATTTTATCAGTTGGTTGAATGTAGAAAAGGGGTAAAAATGAACCCATGGTTAAGTCACCCTTTAAAAATGGCAGATGACAGAACAAATACCTTGTAAACATTCACTTCCACTTAGGGCAAAATTTTAATTCCTATAGAAAGTTGAATGTTATCACCAGTTGAGTCTGAAGAGAGATGGGGAAAATTTGAATCTGTAAATAAGATCCTTTTTTTTTCTAGAGTAAAAGTACAGATAATGATAAAAAGCAGTAATCTGTGCTTTTATGTGATGCTTTTCTTAGTCTTTTTCAGTTATATAGTTATCTGTTAACCTTAACATTACTTTTCTGTCAATATGGAAGAAAAATACTTGATTTTAAAAAAAGTACTTAATTGTAATGTATCCAAATAACTTGGTATGGTCAAATAATTCAATTTGTACCGACATTAGATATAACTATACAGAATGACAACAAAAACAAAACCTAATTGGGGAGGGGGGGGGAAGACTGATAGGAAGATGTTCAAGAAAAATATTGAAATCATAAATTCATATAACTTTTTACCTAGAGAACATATTTATTCTGTAAAATAAATATGCTATTTACAGTAACAAGTTTGGAATTGTATTAGTGATTATACCAACAGTTTACAGTTCACAGTTCACTTTAAATATACCTGCAAGAAAGTATCATGTTAAATTTAACCTGTCACATGTCAAAACTAGGATTTGAAATACAAGATAAAAATGTTAACTAAAGGTACTGTAAGCTAATAAAGTGCTTTTATATTAAAGTGCTTCTTTTTTTTTTTTTTTTTAAATATATTTTATTGAGTTTTTACAGAGAGGAAGGGAGAGAGATAGAGAGTTAGAAACATCGATGGGAGAGAAACATCGATTAGCTGCCTCCTGCACATCTCCTACCGGGGATGTGCCCGCAACCCAGGTACATGCCCTTGACCGGAATCAAACCCGGGATCTTTCAGTCCACAGGCCGACGCTCTATCCACTGAGCCAAACCGGTTTCGGCTAAAGTGCTTCTTTTATTAAAAAGAAATACCTATTTTTCGATCAAGTCTCTCATAAATGTCTTTTGAGGTTCTTCCAAACTTTACGTATTTGGTTGCTAGGGAAGTTTAGTTCCTTTAGATTACTTGTTGCATTTAGATTGTCATAGGAAAAAGGCTTCTTTCATCTTGTTTGGTTATTTAGTCTTATACATGAGTGACTATATTCATGAGAACTGCAGAGTTGACAGATAGGAACCTATTAAATGCTTCTTTCACACCCAAACTGGTGGAAACCAACATATATTTTAAGAGAAATTAATTTGAGTCAAATAAAAGTTGGCAAGTTCTTGTTTTGTTTTTCAATAAATTTATAAGAATTACCTTCCGGGTAGGGGAGGGTGGGGGTAAGGGGAGAGATCAACCAAAGGACTTATATGCAAGCATATAGGCCTAACCAATGGACACAGACAACAGGGGGGTGAGGGCATGAGTGGGGGGGATGTGGGGTAATGTGGGGATAAGGACACATATGTAATAACTTAATCAATAAAAAAATTTAAAAAAAAAGAATTACCTTCCGTTCCTGTCTGATTGCAATGAATGTTTAGCACAGTTGTTGGGGATGTGGATCCGCCTCATTAGAGCCTACTAACTTGTCTTTTCTGTATCCTGCAGCCCCACCTGCACAAGATTGTGAACAGCTCCATGGAGCTCGCACAGACTGCCAAAGAGCCCTATAACTACTTCCTGCTGCTTCGGGCCCTGTTCCGCTCTATTGGGGGCGGTAGCCATGATCTCCTGTATCAGGAATTTTTGCCTCTTCTTCCAAACCTCTTGCAAGGTCAGAGCAATGATTTTGGTTGACTTTTAGCCTTGTGTGCGTGACTTTTAGCCTTGTGTGTGTGGCTGCCCTTAGTTGCTGGGGTTCATCCTCTGTACCCATTGAAGGTCATCGTGAGGAGATATATGTATGTCCCCCCCAGAGAGAGAGGGAGAGGGAGAATGAGAATGAGGCCCTTCAGTCCCTGTGTTCCACTGTCTTTAAAGTCAGTGGGACTTTGAAAGGAGCCCCCTCTCCCCATTCAGTTCTGGTCTCTTTCTCTATACTCAGAGTTGAATGAGAGTTGGAAGGTTTTGGTTTCCTCAGTTAGGACTTGGTTGTATTTTTATAGCATTTGGTAAGCAAGTCTAGAGGGTTGTTTCTAGTGGTTTTGTAAGATCAGGAATCCCTAGATTTGAAAGAGAATCAGAACAAGAAGGGAAAACAAGTTTTAAAGCTGATTTATAAGTTTATATTTTTATTTAGTTGCTTTACACAACCAGAATTCAATAATCTATATATAAAAGGCTAAGCAACCATCCGACCAGCTACCAGCTGGTATGAAGCACACTGACCACTAGGGGCAGACGCTCAACGCAGCAACTTTGTAGAGTGCCCTCTCCCACTCTGGGACCCCTTGGGAGCTGGTTTTGGCCTGATCCCCACAGGCCAGGCCCAGGGACCCCACTTGCTGAAGGGACCCCCTGCTCACTCCACAGATGTCCTTCGAGCCTTGGCGCTGCCCAAGGTGTGGCCAGCTGGGAGGGATTGCTGGAGATTGGCTCCAGGGTGTGTCTGGCCCCTCTCGCCCAGTCCTACCCGCTGGCCACCTTCTAATTAATTTCCTTTAAATGTGCATGAATTCGCGCACCAGGTCACTAGTTCCTGTATAATTAGAAATGCTTTCAAAATGTAAAGCTAAAGAAGATCTATCTTGAGTCCATCCAATGTTTGTGGGTGTGAACTGATTAGAAACATTATCTTAGGAATTTGTATTTTTGTAAGTGTGAGCTCCTGGTATCTTAGCAAAGGATTAAATCTAAATTTTCTTTGTAAATTCTTTAAAGAGAAGCCATTTACAACATTGTATACCCAGAAGGCAACTGGGAAATACATATTTGGATATTAAATGTAACATGGTCATAAGTCCACCAGGCAAAGTGCTTAACCATAATCAGGCTCCTTTGTTCGTATTTAAACCCATCTCCGTAATTCCTTAACCTGAGCCCTCTGCTCTGATCAGTCTGATTTCTTCCTGTACACTCTCTGCTGTCCCCAAGCTCATCTCTCCCTACTCTGTTTTGTTCAAGCATATCTCCTTCTGGGGACTTAGCCTTTCCCTCTTTTTATCCTCCTCCTCCTACCCTATGATGACTTGCCTGTCACCTCTTCACTGAGCTCTCTTTAACCTGCAGTACCTGGATGCACCTTGTGTTGGGTCTGCTGAGTCACATGCTTTTCTCTTTCTAGCTTGCCTCTAAGTGCTCTGAGCTAGTCTTGACCTGATTCGTGTTAGTTAGGAAGGAGCTCAGGAAATACTTGGTTACCCTCATGAAGAGTGGGGAGGTTGATTTTATAAGAAGGAGGCTCCTCTCTATAAGAAACAAAAGTGGATTTTTGGAAAAATATTTATATTTTAGAGCATAAACATCAACTGACCTACTGGAAACTTGAGATATAAGATTGTAAACCTCAAACTTGAGATGAATGTTATCATATCAGAAGTCTCTGTCTTTAGATTGGGCTTATTAATAGTGTAACATTTTAAAAAGGTTGATGTGTAATATATTACAAGATATGTTATTATAATTATAACATAGTATATAATAATTATATGCAGCTTGCTGTTGTCACTATGACTAGCACAGACAAAGGGGATCGTGGATGCAGTTATAGAATAGGGTTAGCTAATTAATATAGTAGCTTATAAGGCATAAGAAGTCTTCCTATCATCACATTGATGTATATAATGAAAAGTGTACCAGTTATTTTGTACAGTTAACTTTGGCCTGTGTCTGGATGGCAACTTCACCTCTGACTGTCCCACACCCTGTTATTAGGGCTGAACATGTTGCAGAGCGGCCTGCATAAGCAGCACATGAAGGATCTCTTCGTGGAGCTGTGTCTCACGGTGCCTGTACGGCTGAGCTCTCTCTTGCCGTATTTGCCCATGTTAATGGATCCCTTGGTGTCTGCTCTCAATGGCTCTCAGACGTTGGTCAGCCAAGGCCTGAGGACTCTGGAGTTGTGTGTGGACAACCTGCAGCCCGATTTCCTGTATGACCACATTCAGCCAGTACGCGCAGAGCTCATGCAGGTAAGTTTGTTTTCCTAAGTGCCAGCAGAGGGCGCTAGGTGCTCATGTTAGTTCCTACTGAAGATTTTAGGCCATCTGGCTGGCAGTGACGGGTCTCTGTTGAGCTCTCCATGCTCTGTGGTGGACTATCTGCAGGATGAAATGGTGAAGTTTTCAACTTATTTTGTGCATCTTCTGGCTATGACAATATGTAAAGAAATACTGTAAGTATTGAGTGACTATTTGTTTCGCAGTACTGCCCTCTTTTTTGGAGGCTTTTACAGGTATCTTGTTCCTTTAGTTGGTGACTTACAAAGGCAGGTATATGGTCACTGTTGCTTCCAGGAGATCCTTTCTTTATTCACAAAAGATCTTGAGCTACACAGTACAGAGGTGCAGATTACTAAGGGAAAACATAGTTGTCTGCAAACATTTTATATATAGATATTTTTAACAGTCTTAAATTTTTTTGATTTGTTTTTAGAGAGAGGAAGGGAGAGAGAGAAAGAGCGAGACATCGATCAGTTTCCTCCTACATGTGCCCTGACCAGGGATCAAACCCGAAATTTGGATATGTACCTTGACCAGGAATGAATCCTCAACCTCTTGGTGTACGGGATGACATTCCAACCAACTGAGCCACACTGGCCAGGCAACATTTTGTATTTTTTGTTCATTAGAGTTCATATGTCAGATATCAGGTTTTTCCTTCATTTTTTGCTGCTGTTATTGATTTGTAATGTGGTTGGTAATTGTTAGAGGTTTAGGCTACCTGTTACTTACTCATGTGCCCCATTAGCATAGAGTATTTGACCCCACACTGGGATCAGAATTCTGACAGCTTTATATGATGGGGACTCAGTAACCCCTAAAGGACAGAAGTCTTTGGGCAGAAAAGATTGGAGATGGCAACTTGGAAGAACTGCCCCATGGTGGTTGAGCACCATGTGGGAGGAGGAGGCAGGGAGGGGTTCTCCAGCCTCTTGCCATTCTGTGAGGCAGACAGCCCCAGGGAGAGACAGGTCCCTGGCTGCTTTTGGAGGCGCAGTAACCTATCCACTGGGCAAGTGGGATAAGCTGTCTCACTTTAGCTCCATCAACCAGCTAAGTCTACGTGAGTATTTGGAGATCAGAAGCACAGAAACACTAATTCCCACTACCTGCCCCTCCCAGGGAGTAAAGCAGAGGTCACTTCTGAAGATAAGTGAGGATTAGGTAGGCCAGGTAGAGGGGGTAGAGGTGAGAGGACTTAGACAACACCTCTCAGCAGTTATTAATGAGAAGCCTCTTTGGACCTACAGGTACATAAGAGAAATTGGAATTTTGCTTTAGAGGAAAGTACCAAGATTTTCTATTGATTATTGCTAGACACTAATATTGGGCATTGTTTCAGAAGGTGATTTAAGAAATAGATTTTAATAATGAGCTATGGTAATTTTCAAGATATGATCATTTATCTGGGAAAATGGAAAATGGAACAGTTGAGTATGTGTGTACAAGGTACACATTATTTATTCTTCCTAATAATGCAGGTCCCAACATGATCCACATTTTCCCCCTTTGCCATCCTTCCTAATGTATAAGATAATTTAAATAGATGATTTATATATCATGTTTTGAAGTTATAATAGAAGTAAAAATCTGAGAACTTACCATCTAACCCCAGGATGAGAACTTACCAGTAAACCACATTTCTCTCTATGTTCCTCCCAATCCCATTTTGTAAAGATGCCTAAGCTATATATTGCTTAGTTTTCTTGCTTTTCAGCTCTGCAGTATTTACTATGCTACCATTTGTGCTTCAGGAGCATGGAAGAATGTTTTTATTTATATATGCATTTTTGTAAAGACATAAACTTTTTCTGGGAGAATACACAAGATCAGTAACACTGGCTTCTCCCAAGAAAGGGAATTTGTTAGTTTGGGGGAAAGAGAAGGAAGAAATTTTGCTGAATAGTCTTTTATAACTTTTGGGTTTTAATTTGTGAGCCATGTGAATGCATTACCTTGAAAGGATTTTAATGAAAGCGTGTTGATTTCTAGGCTTTATGGCGTACTTTACGCAATCCTGCTGATAGCATTTCTCATGTAGCCTATCGTGTACTTGGTAAATTTGGTGGCAGTAACAGGAAGATGTTAAAGGAATCCCAGAAGCTGCACTATGTTTTGACTGAAGTTCAAGGCCCCAGTATTACAGTGGAGTTCTCCGATTGTAAAGCATCTCTTCAGCTTCCAATGGAGAAGGTAAATTTGGAAGTCTCTGGGAGCTTCTTAATCCTATATAATAAAAGTCTAATATGGTAAGTGTCCGGTCGTCCAGTAGTCCAATCAATCAAAACATAATATGCTAATGATATGCTAAGGCCGCTCAACCGCTTGCTATGACATTTACTGACCACCAGGGGGCAGACAGTCAACCAGTCACTATGACGTGCACTGACTACCAGGGGCAGACGCTCTGACTGGTAGGTTAGCTTGCCGCTGGGGTCTGAGCGAGAAGGGTGGGACACGCCCTGGAGCCCTCCTGCGGTCCCTCCTTGGCTGGCCAACCTCCCATGTCCCTCCTTGGCCCCGATCATGCACTGATGATGTCCCTTGGCCTGGCCTGCGCCCTTTTGCAATCTGGGCTGAGGGATGCACGCCCCCCCCCCCCCCCCCCCCCAGTGCACGAATTTTGTGCACCGGACCTCTAGTGATACTATAAGTTTCTTTTTAAGAATTCCTATTTGAAAATATGTGAATAAAACATGTACTCTTTTTTGTGAGGGAATTTATAACTCAAAGAAGAATGAGATTTATTTGGAGACAGATAGGTGGGTGAGGGAGCTTTCATACCACCAGGAGGCCAGTGGAGGGGTGTTACCCCTGAGGCTTTGGACCCTTGAGCAGGTCCATCTTTCCTGAGGGACCAGAAGGTGATGCCCTGCCCACCTGGCCCTGGAACTTACTGGTTTGTTTGTTTTTTAGTGTTTTTATTGATTTCAGAGAAAGGAACGAAGAGAGAGAGAGGGATAGAAACATCAATGATGAGAGAGAATCATTGATCAGCGGCCTCCTACACGCCCCCTACTGGTTATGTGCCCTGACTGGGAATTGAATCTGCCACCTTTTGGTGTATAGGATGATGCTCCCACCAACTGAGCCACACCAGCTAGGGTGGGAGAACCCAGGTTTTGAAGATAGGCTTCCACAGTCCTGCACCTTTATGGAAACTTTATGGTGCTTGTGGAGCTCCTTTCCCAGCAGGCAGCATCCTCAGGGCCGTGGCATGCCCAGTGAGCTGAAGGAGTCGACTAGGCAAAGGGAATGACCAGCGAGACCAACCCCAGTGCCAGTAAATTTCCGTTAAAACAGTCATTTTTTTTCAGTGGGTAATTGGCTCATAGCTTACATTGATTCTTAAAAATAAAATTTCTAAAATTATCCTCACATGATTTATTACCTATTAATGACCAGATTAGAGGCAGTAGGAGAAACGACAGTTCTGCCGTGCCCCAGAAGACTCAGACACACGGCTGGGGTGATGTGGTGAGAAGCTGTATCACACTGAGCGGCCCTGTGTGCTTTGTCGCCTGGCTGGGTCTGGAGTGCAGGGCTCTGTCCCTGTCGGATCTTTTTCTGGCTCCTCACACAGAGCCTGGATAAATGTTTAATTTTTGATACAGATTAGTTCTTTGATACATATGTATATAATTATCATTAAGTTAATATCTTAGCTGTTAAAGGCTTCAAATTATTTTTCTGTGTGATTGTTCCTCCCCTGCCTTTCTGGTCAATTTCATTGAAATGAAAAGGATAAAAATATGAGTGTAGCTATATAGGTGTTCTGAAAAAAAAAAGATGTAAACCTTTTTCTCTTTTAAAGAGGAATTTAGTGAAAGCTTAGGAAAGTTGTCTAGTTTTGAACTTAGACACAGGAAAGTCTGTGGTCTGCAGAAAGTTCATTATTCTCTTGAGGACCTTGATAAGTGTGTAGATGACCCAGTGTCTAGTTTAATCCAGCAAATCTACCACAAGGACTCTTATAGGCTCATTTAATTTCTGGAATCTCCCATTGGCTGTTTAAGCACAAAATTAGTAAACTCCATTTTACATTTTAATTTGAACTGTGCAGTTCCTTATTCATGATACTTTCATCGCCTTCTCTGGAGGTCTTACACAGGGAGTACTTGCTACCCTGTGTAGTCCCACTCTGCTCACTTCAAGAGAAAAAAATACGCATTAAGATTCTTTTGGGTGTTGCGAATGCTTTCAGTGAAAGACTTTCAAGGACATGTAATTTGGTACCAACTATAACTTTTGTTTTTATTTGTTGTCATAGGCCATTGAAACCGCTCTGGACTGCCTGAAAAGTGCCAACACTGAGCCCTACTACCGGAGGCAGGCGTGGGAAGTGATCAAGTGCTTCCTGGTGGCAATGATGAGTCTAGAGGACAATAAACATGCTCTCTACCAGCTGCTTGCACACCCTAAGTATGTTGGTAATTTAATTCTCTGCAATTAAATATACCTTGCTTCAGGAATGAGGGATGGAGAGGACCTTTAAGATATCTTAATGTTATGAGCATGTTCCTTCTAGTTAGGAAAACGACATGTTATTTGCCTAATAATGCTTCCGTTGGCTTTTAGAGAAAATGGGAGAAATTGGGTGCTTGAGTATTAGAATTTATCAGTTGTGATCTGCCTTTATGATTGACTCCTCATTAGGTTGGAAGTTTCAAGAACCAAGGGTCATACTCTTTTCTCTTTCTTCTGCCCACCATTATATTCACAGCGCCTGTCACGTGATACTCAGTGGATCTTTTACTTTTCCAGTCCATAGTGATATTTTCTTTCTCCAGATATTTGTCATGTGATATTTGTATTTTGCTCCTATAATTTAGGTTGTGGTCAGTGGTTGGCATGGGGGTGGGAGAGGGATTGACTTTTTGGGGTGACATGTCTTAAAATTGAATAGTGGTAATGGTTGTACAACTATAGAAATGTAAAACTCATTGAACCATATAATTAAAATAAATGAATTCTATGGTATATAACTTATTTCTCAAAGCTGTTAAGAATCATAATAGAAAAGAACAAACGTCAAATTGAGCTAAATACTTGTGCAAAAAAATTGAGCAAAAAAAAACAACTCTGGGAGTTTTATGGAACATATTAAATAAAAATCTAAAAATAAAAAATATATATATTAAAAAAACAAGAAGTTTAACAAAAGTAAATTTGACGTGCAAATTTTTAAAAAAATCATTTAGGTATTTCAAACTTTTACTTTAAAAAAATATACATGTATTTAAATAACTCAGTAATGAGAATTTTATTTTTTTCTTCTTTTTTAAAAAATTGATTTCAGAGAGGAAGGGAGAGGGAGAGAGAGAGAAACATCAATGATGAGAGAATCATGGATCAGCTGTCTCCTGCACACCCCTACTGGCGATGGAGCCTGTAACCCAGGCATGTGCCCTTGACTGGAATCAAACCTGGGACCCTTCAATCCACAGGCTGACGCTCTATCCATGAGCCAAACCGGCAAGGGCTAAAAATATTTTTATTGACAAGGGAAATTATTCAAGCACTCTGAAAGTGTTTTTACTCTTAATGTGGTATACAGGATAATATTAGAATAAGTTTAATCAATTTATCAGTTACTGTTTTTATCAATGCTGTTATATCATGTCTTTGTTTTTATAACATGTTTTTAGTTTTATATCATGTCTGTTTTTACATCATATTGTTTATCAATCAATTTATATATTGTTGTCATATACATTTTACTAATATTCTTTCATCTCTGACACTTCTATTATAGAGAAAGGGTGAATAGCTATATTAAAATATTTTTTCTAATTAATTTCCTTTCAATGTGCATGAATCCGTGCACTAGGCCACTAGTTTAATTATAAAAGATAAATTATAAAAGATAAATTCAAACCTAAAATGAAATATTATAAAAAATTGAATCTGCTGCCCTTTTGTTATTTCCCTCTGATCCATTGCCTGTGCTGCTATCAGGTAGAACATATTTGATGAATCAGTGGTTATAAGTGTTCATACTGAAATTAAAGCAGAGAAATTAATTTACTCGGTCCTATCTGAATGAGGAAGGAGGGTGGGTTGAAATAAAAAAAAAAAGTCATGGTGAAGCCATCAGCTCAGGACTTTGGTGTTATGATGGTGGATTAAATTTTGTCTTCCAGCTTTACAGAAAAGACCATACCTAATGTCATCATATCACATCGCTACAAAGCACAAGATACTCCAGCTCGGAAGACATTTGAGCAGGCTTTGACTGGGGCATTCATGTCTGCAGTCATTAAAGATCTTCGGCCCAGCGCCCTGCCCTTTGTAGCCAGCCTGATCCGCCACTACACAATGGTGGCAGTTGCCCAGCAGTGTGGTGAGTGGGGCCAAGCAACTGGTTATTTGACTTCAAAAACTTGGTCAGGACATGGTGGTGTTTCAGAGAAGCTGAGGTTGGCTGATTGATTTTTGGCCTTTGTTTTCTAATTTTTCACTTGAAAAAGATCATTGGTATTTCAGCAATGGATGCTGTATTGTGAAAATTGTTTCCAAGTGTTGGCTATAAAATGCACTCAGTATCTCGGCCCTTTGTGTTTTTATGAAAAAGGGGGCTGAATAGTGTTGGCTGTGTAAACAGAGACAGTTTGCAGTTACACGTATTGCTGACCTTCCTCCATGTGTTTTCCATCGTCACCTCTCTGCTCTTCAGCCAGCTCCTCGAAGGCTCCCTTGCAGTGCTCATCTCTGCTCCTGGGATGCTCACCCATCTCTTCTCTTTGCCTGGAATAGCTACTTGCTTCTGCTGCAGGGGTTCTCAGGCTCTGGGTGTGAAGGACAGAGTTTGTCTTCTTGGCTTTATTTTTAAGCCACTACAGACTGGTGGTTTGGTAGAAGACAGTAGGACTGTCAGGGCTGCCCAGTGCTCTGTAAGTTTCTGAACACTTACTCCCAACTTGTGTAACAACTCCCAGGCTAGTGCTGGCCAGTGGACGCCCTTGAGGAGCACTGCACTCGGGCATGTCCTCAGAGCCCTCACCCTGGAGAACGATGATGGGCTTTCTTGAGGCTGTAGAACATGTGGGACTTTCCCCTCGTAACTCTTGGCCTGGACAGTTGGTACTGTACAATTTAGCACTTAGATTGTTTCTCAGTGTTTCTTCTGTGTTAACGTTAACTTTACAGCAGACCTGTAAGTTTTTTGATAATTCCCAACTTGTGGGTCCTAGGCACCTGTGAGGCATTAATAGTTGCTGGCAGATTGTTCTTTGTGTGTATGTTGGGTGTCATACCTGGGTGCTGTTGCTTTTTTTTTTTTGTGAATTGTTGCTTTTGATTGTTATATGTATGTCAGGAATGTACAGAGGGTAACTCATAGTCATTCCCATGCTCTGCCCTTTGGCCTGTTGAATGACTTTTTATTTATTTATAAAAAAATATATTTTATTGATTTTTTACAGAGAGGAAGGGAGAGGGATAGAGAGTTAGAAACATCGATGAAAGAGGAACATCGATCAGCTGCCTCCTGCACATCTCCTCCTGGGGGTGTGCCCGCAACCCAGGTACATGCCCTTGACCGGAATCGAACCTGGCACCTTTCAGTCTGAAGGCCGACGCTCTATCCACTGAGCCAAACCGGTTTCGGCTTGAATGACTGTTTAAAAAGAAGGTACCTGATTGTGGTTCTCTCTCTTTTTTTCTTTTTTTTAAAAGTCGGCCATGAGAATATTTTAGGAGAAATAAACTATTTTTTAAAATATATTTTTATTGCTTTCAGAGAGGAAAGGAGAGGGAAAGAGAGAGATAGAAAAATCAATGATGAGAGAGAATCATTGATCAGCTGCCTCCTGTACACCCCTACTGGGGATTGAGCCTGCAACCCAGGCATGTGCCCTTGACTGGAATTGAACCTGGGACCCTTCAGTCCACAGGCCAACGCTCTATCCACTGAGCCAAACCAGCGAGTGGTTCTTATTTTAAATTAATACATTTTTGACTTATGATTGAGGAAATCTGAAAGTAATACAGTGTTTAATGGAAAACATTCAGAAAAATTACCTTAGTGTAAATCAGACTCCTTAGTTTAAAAATATTGAGTTTAATAGAAGTTGGTCTAAAGTATTAAGTTCCTAACCTCAAAGAAAAGAAAATGAGGTACTTTTGCAGTTTGAGGGACAAGAATGTTGGTATGCGGATACTCTTCTCTCTCATGCGCCCTGTGCTCTCCTCCAGGTCCTTTCTTGCTGCCTTGCTACCAGGTGGGCAGCCAGCCCAGCACAGCCATGTTTCATAGTGAAGAAAACGGGTCGAAAGGAATGGATCCATTGGTTCTCATTGATGCCATAGCTATATGTATGGCATATGAAGAAAAGGAACTTTGCAAGATTGGAGAGGTGGCTCTTGCTGTGATATTTGATGTTGCAAGTATCATCCTGGGCTCAAAGGAGAGGGTAAGGCCAGATCTCCTATTTGTGGGGTTTGTACCTGAGGGTGTCATTCTAGAAACTGGTAGTTTAAGAATTGCAGTAACACATTAAGGTTTGTGTTTGTTTTTCTCTCCAGGCATGCCAGCTGCCTCTGTTTTCTTACATTGTGGAGCGCTTGTGTGCGTGTTGTTATGAGCAGGCCTGGTATGCAAAGTTGGGGGGTGTGGTGTCCATTAAGTTTCTCATGGAGCGGCTGCCTCTCACTTGGGTTTTGCAGAACCAGCAGACATTCCTCAAAGCGCTTCTCTTTGTCATGATGGACTTAACTGGAGAGGTAGGTGATGGTGGCTCCAAACCTATAACCAAGCTGTCTCAAGAAGCTGATTTGCTGGAGAATAGGTAGCAAGAGTCAGTTCTGCAAATTTGCTCTCCTAAAAGCTTAGGTTTTATAACAACACCTTCAATAAAAGGACAGATCAGAACCCCTCTAGGTTTTCTCTGGTTATCAGATACCTATCTGTCTTCATAAGGAGCAGTCAGAAACCAGAGAACTTACCACAGAACATCTGTGACCTGTGAAGGAAGCACCACTCCTCAGTCTTGTCTTGGGGCTCAGTAGTGCACACGGTCCAGCATTTCCACAGACGCTGCATTCTTTATGAACGTATATGCAGGCAGAATATCTGGGCATCGCCAGCTTATCTGTTTGGTAAATACAAAGATCCTGTCTACACCACGTTTTCCTTTCTGAGTGACACAGGAATTACCTATAAGTACCTAATGGAAGTTATGAAGTAGTCTTATTAAAGTAGTTGGCACGAGGGGCGTGACCCCCCTTAGAGACAATGTTTATGGCAGGCAGGTTGTGCAGGAGACATGGGTGTCCTGGGCAGCATTGTTCCCTTTTTGATCGAAGGAGTCCTTGGCCTGCAGGTTTCCAATGGGGCCGTTGCCATGGCCAAAACCACCCTGGAGCAGCTTCTGATGAGGTGTGCGACACCTTTAAAAGATGTAAAAGATGAGGAGAAAGCGGAAGAGATTGCGGCAGCTCAGGAAAAGTCTTTTCACCACGTGACACACGACTTGGTTCGAGAAGTCACCTCTCCAAATTCCACTGTGAGGAAACAGGCTATGCATTCACTGCAAGTTTTGGCCCAGGTCACTGGAAAAAGTGTGACAGTGATAATGGAACCCCATAAAGAGGTGAGATTTCTGTCACCAGAACGAGGGTAACATGATCAAAACTTTTGAGACTTTTTTCTCCCTTTAAATCTGAGAGTTAGAGGATACATAATTTATAATTTTGTGTCCACTTTACAAAATACTATTACATATGCTGTTTTTAACCTCAGATATGTGAAAATCAGTGTGCTTATATTAATGGTTCTATTGGTAATGGCCAGTGTCAAGAGGATAGAAGGTTGGTTTCCTGGATCAGTATAGCACAATCTGGTAGTTTTGTGTTTGTGTTTTTTTTAAAAAAAATATTTTATTGATTTTTTTACAGAGAGGAAGGGAGAGGGAGAGAGAGTTAGAAACATTGATGAGAGAGAAACATCGATCAGCTGTTTCCTGCATGCTCCCTACTGGGGATGTGCCCACAACCAAGGTACATGCCCTTGACCGGAATCGAACCTGGGACCCTTGAGTCTGCAGGCTGACGCTCTATCCACTGAGCCAAACCGGTCAGGGCTGTGTTTGTTTGTTTTAAGAGAGGTTACTCTGAAGCCTTAGGAATGAAGTATATCAGACACCCATGGCCCAGTTTTAGCACATGAAACATCTCTCTGTCACCTAATTAAAAGACATCTGTAATAACCTTTAATCTCTTACGATTTTCAAATTGGTAATTGCTTTAGAATATTGTGATGAGAGCCTTTTTGAGGGGCATGTGTTTAGTTGTAGTTCCTCCTTACCTGTCCTAGGTCCTCCAGGATATGGTCCCACCTAAGAAGCATTTGCTCAGACACCAGCCTGCCAATGCACAGATCGGCCTGATGGAGGGGAACACGTTCTGTACCACATTGCAGCCCAGGCTCTTCACAATGGATCTTAACGTGGTGGAGCATAAGGTGTTCTACACAGAGGTAGGGGGGTGGTGGTACGCGTGGTGTGGATGGTGATGACGTGTGTCTGGTAAACTGTCTTTGTGCACGAAGACTGGTTAGGCAGCACTCAGAGAAGGCCTGGGAGGTGACCACAGGGAACCAGCAATAGCCTGGCACAGCACTCGGCACACGTATGTTACATCTGGGATTGGGGAGAAGGTGGGCATAGTGATTGCAGATGTTCAACAAAAGGTGGGTGTTTCCTGAGTCTTTTGAACTCTCTTAGCCCTCTACCAAGGAAACTTGCTCTTCAGGGCCTTCAAGTTGTAATCTAGAGCTAAGACTGTACCATCTGCTTTAGTCACTGTCCCATCTGCTGGTGCTTAGAATAAGACGGCACAAGCAAGTGCCAGCTTACTGAGTTTATTAGTCACTTAAACGTGCCAGGCACTGTTGAGACCTTACTTCACATGAATGCCCTCTGTAGCTCTGACCTCCTGAAGATACAGAAACTGAGCATGAGCATTTGGTATACACCTAAGGTCATAGCAGAGAAGCTGCAGATCATAGGTGGGAACCATGACTGTTACTTTGGAGCCTTGTCCTGCCGGGTTCTCGTGCTGCTTAGTGGACTTGACTTGCTCCTTGATTCAAGATAATGGGCAGAGGCAGATGACATCTTACAAGTGTTTGCCACTGTAAACTTCCCAGTTTACAGTGTGTAGACAGTAATAAACAGAAATTAATCTTTAGATACAGTCAGATTATAAGCATTAATTCTTTTTTAAAAAAATATTTTATTGATTTTTTACAGAGAGGAAGGGAGAGGGATAGAGAGTTAGAAACATCGATGAGAGAGAAACATCGATCAGCTGCCTCCTGCACACTCCCCACTGGGTATGTGCTTGCAACCAAAGTACATGCCCTTGACCGGAATCGAACCTGGGACCCTTCAGTCCGCAGGCCTACGCTCTATCCACTGAGCCAAACCGGTTAGGGCTAATTCTTTTTTTTTAATGCTTACCTCTGAGGATATTTTTTTCCATTTACTTATAGTGAAAGTAGGAGAGAGAGAAAGAGAAACATGGATGTGAGAGAAACAATGGATTGGTTGCCTCCCACACCTGATCGGGGATGGGGATGAACCTGCAACCAAGGTACATGCCTTTGACCTGGAATAAAATTCTTTGGAATTTGAGTTCAGTTTGTCAGTTAATTGTGTTGTGGGGTGTGTGGAAGATTGCTGTGCTCTTTTACTTGTGAGGTTATTATGTCATTACAGTAAGAGCAGGCTAAATTACATTGCTTTATCTTTTGCAGCTTTTGAATTTGTGTGAGGCTGAAGATTCAGCTTTAACAAAGCTGCCCTGTTACAAAAGTCTTCCATCACTCGTGCCTTTGAGAATTGCAGCACTAAGTAAGTTCATATAAATCTGAAACAAGTTACTGGGGATAAAAGTGAAAGGGGACAGTGGCCTTTTATGTTGTTTAATTTTTTTTTTTTTGGCTTCTTGTGTTGTTTTTAAGGTGGGATCAAAAACTATGTGTGTATTTATCAAACTAGATAATGAGATGTCAGTGGATTATATAGATTGTTAGGATTTAAATAATTTCTTATTCTATAGTAAATTGAATTTTACTATTTAATAAACTATTTATAGTTCTATGAACCTAATATTCTGGTTTAACAGAGTTGTCATACCATTCATATATTGCCATTTTCATCCAACAGAGTATTTAGTAAGATATACAACATTCTTTATAGACTTTGTAATGATTCAGAAGCATCTGAGAATCCTGCTGGCTCTAGATTTTCCTGAATTTTAGCTATCAGTGTTTAGTACAGGAATTGTGTTAAGTTTAAAAAAATATACTAGGTCAGTACTCACCCTTGTGCTTAGAAACAGTCATTTCCTCCCCTTTTTGGTAATACCCAATACAGGTTTTTTAAGTTGACTTTGTCTCTTGATCTGTTGATATTTATACCCTTAATAAATTATTGTCAGAATCCTTGAATTAGCGGTAGAGAAGCTGAGAAACAGAGAATATAATATCCAAGCTTGAGGATGGGGCTGGGTGGGGTGTTTAAGACAAAGTAAGCCAGAGTGAGGGAGGTGCAGAGCAGGGATGTTTGCCAGCTTCTCACTTTTTCTGAGTTGGGATTTTTTCTTTGGGGTGCCCTCAGACATTCCTGTTAGCAATATGGTCCTCTTGCTAGGATGTTCTCTCTCTTTTTGTTGTTGGTAAGCCTCACCTGAGGATATTTTTTCTGTTGATTTTTAGAGAGTGTGGAAGGGAGGGCGGGGGAGAGAGAGAGAGAGAGAGAGAGAGAGAGAGAGAGAGAGAGAGAGATGTATGTGAGAGAGACACATTGATTAGTTGCCTCGCACACATGCCCCAACCAGGGTGGGAATGAACCGGCAACCCAGGTATGTGCCCTTGACCAGGAATTGAACCTGTGACCCTTTGATGCACTGGCCCGATGCTCTTCCACTGAGTCACACCAGCCAGGGCTAGGCTGTTCTCTCCTAATGAGCATAAGATTGAGGTGTGTCTCCTTTCCTCAGAATATTTGTATTTTCAAAGTCTCTCAAGTTGGGAGGAGGCTGCCTGATTAGATATGAATAGTGGAGCGAAGCCTGGCTGTGTGTGTGTCTATTCCTTTCATCAGGGCCGTGCCCTCTTTTTTTTTTTTTAAATATATTTTTATTGATTTTTTAAAGAGAGGAAGAGAAAGAGATAGAGAGTTAGAAACATCGATGAGAGAGAAACATCGATCAGCTGCCTCCTGCACACTCCCCACCGGGGATGTGCCTGCAACCAAGGTACATGCCCTTGACCGGAATCGAACCTGGGATCCTTCAGTCCACAGGCTGACGCTCTATCCACTGAGCCAAACCGGTTAGGGCAGGGCCATGCCCTCTTCATGAATTCAGCATGCATCTGGCCACAGGTCAGCCATGCTCACCCTGTATGAAGATGTCTTGGGGGCAGCAGTGTCATTGGGGACCTTCTTTCTTCCCTCTTCTGCCCTCTCCCTCCTATCTGGACAATGTAAAATTTGTCATGGCCCTTCTGGCTGTTGATTTCACCCTTAGATAATGTCGGTAGAAGATCATGTGGTCTTTTTGTCTTTCTCAAGGTCAGATACTAGGAAAGAGGTTTAGTGACACATAATTTTTGTGGGTAAGAGCCTTTATTTATTTATTTTTAAAGATGTTCCTTTTTATTTTTATTGATTTCAGAGAGGAAGGGAGAGGGAGAGAGACAGAAACATCAATGATGAGAGAGAATCATTGATTGGCTGCCTCCTGTATGCCCCCTACTGGGAATCGAGCCCATGACCCAGGTACATGCATTTGACTGGAATTGAACCCATGGCCTTTTGGTCCGAGGGCCAATGCTCTTGTCTCCTAAGCCAAACTGGCCAGGGCTGGTAAGAGCCTTTAGATAAGCAATATGTTCATGTATTTTCAGGTTAATAATGAGATTATATTACTTTTTCTCCCTAAAGATGCACTTGCTGCCTGCAATTACCTTCCTCAGTCCAGAGAGAAGATCATTGCTGCACTCTTCAAAGCACTTAATTCCACAAATAGTGAGCTCCAGGAGGCTGGAGAAGCCTGCATGCGAAAGGTGAGGTGTGTGTGTGTGTGTGTGTGTGTGTGTGTGTGTGTGAATTCTGTTTAGGAGTTCTATTTACCTTGTCTGTGTGCCTGGAAATCTGCCTGTTAATATCCACTGGATTGTAATAATGTCTCTACTGGTTCCATAGTCATACCAAACCTTTAAAAATATTATACAGCAATGACTAGTCAATAGATATATTTAATGTTTCATTTTTTCAAGGAACACAGAAACTTGCTGGTAGAGTCACACATAAGTTCTATTCTATTCTAAAGTATAGTCTGTTATCTGTTTTCATTTGTAACCTTTCTTTTAAAATAGTTTTTAGAAGGTGCTACCATAGAAGTAGATCAAATCCACACACATATGCGACCTTTGTTGATGATGCTGGGGGATTATCGAAGTTTGACGCTGAATGTTGTGAATCGTCTGACTTCGGTTACCAGGCTCTTCCCAAACTCCTTCAATGATAAATTCTGTGATCAGATGATGGTAAGCTAAATGCATGTAATAAACCTGAAAATTGGAATTATTTTTTTAAGTAAGTAATATATTTACATGGTTTAAAATTCATAGGGTATGGAAGGGTATGCTGTGAAAGTATCCCTCCTGTCCTCCAACTCTCCACCCTCTTCCCAGAGACACCCAGTGTTAACAGTTTCCTTCTGGAGGCTTTTACATTTGTAATAGGACATGTGTATATTCTTTTGTTTCCCACAAAAGGAAGGATAATATAATCACAGTTCTTACTTTTCCTATCTACTACCCCACCATTTCATCAGAACATAAAATGCTTCTTCATTCTGTTTTGTGATGACAATAATCCTTATGTGGCCATGCCCTCATTTATGTAACCAGGCCCCCACTGATGACCTTCTAGATTAGAGGTGTGGAACCTTTTTTCTGCCAGGGGCCATTTGGATATTTATAGCATCATTTCATGGGCCACACAAAATTATCAACTTGAAAATTAACCTGCTGTATTTGATCAAACATTTAATTAATTCCCCCCTAATGCCTTGCTGGGGCCAGACCAAATGATTTCACAGGGCTTATAGGGCCCATGGTATGGCCCGAGGGCCGGATGTTCCCCACACCTGATCTAGATTATTCCCAGTCTTTTGCTTTACAGACGATGATACAGTGGAAAACTTGTAAGAACTTTAGAAATCCTTTGGGTTTTTAGAATTATCAGGGAAATGATGCAAATAAAATCTGTTTGGCAATGTTTAAATTTGAAGTGTAAGCAGGTGAAGGAGATTCAGCTATTAATTTTCTTAGTATTTGATTTTGTTTCTGGTAAATAGACACTTATAAATACTGCAAACGTACATGTATTTTTCATAAATAGCCTTTGGCCATATAGATATTTAAGATACTAGAGGTGGGTTTTTTTTTAAAAATTTGGTTTTGTTTGATATACCTTTCGCTCAGATGTAAACAGGAGTGAGCAGATAGTTAGACTTAGATATAGATATAGTGCGTTACGGAGTATAGATATATGTGTATATGAAAACCACACAACTTTTTACCTCACATACTAGCTTCTTTATAGACACCTAGAAAATGAACAGTGACCCAAACACCTAATTGGGAATTGATAATAATATTATGATTGGCCCTAGAAACTGTGATGCCCTAATGGAAGAGTGTGAGTGGGAAGCAATATTATATGGAAGTGAATTTTCCAAATTGGAAGAACCCTTCTCTTTAAGATTCCAAATATATGTAATGCACATACATACCTACCAGTTTATACTCATACACTCACAAGTGTGGTTAAAGTAAGTGATATTAATCACTTCCTAGTCAGAGCACAAGTATACACGTTTTCTTATAGACTATTACAACTATTGGTGCTTTCATATATGAGATTTGTGCATATCTTTTTAATGTCCTAATGTTTTTATATTTGCCCCCTTTTTTACTGTTTGTCTCTTCCAACTCTGTCAGCTGTCATTTGTTGCAATCTTTGCTGCCTGCCTGAAGCAACTTGATTGTTTTTTGCATTTTTTACCCCTAATCTAACCCTTCAGATTTGCTGTTAGCTGGGAATTCCTTCAGTGATTTGTTACCCAATCTTTTAAGAACAGTGTGAAGAGACTGCCTCACAGTCTGTGGTTTCTGACTAAGTTTAGGAATCTTTTCCCCTAAAACAAAGTTACATAGGTTTGGGGGATTTTTTCCTTTCTCTGGCAATATAGACATTTTCTGAGTGGTTAAAAATCCTCTAAAAACAGAGAGAGTTGATGTACTTGGATAAAGAATGATTGAAGTTACTGTCTGTTCAGCCATTTTCATCTGGCACCATCTTGCCCGAGTCCATCCTGGGCGTGTGTGGCTGGTGCTTTGTGTTTGGCTTGGGTCTTTCTGTCGTATCCTGTGTCCACTGGGCTGTGCCAGGTGTGGTACCCTTCTTTACTCATGTCCTTCAGAACTGTGCCCAGACTCTGAGCCTTTGTTTTCCCTCATGATTAGCTTTTGCGGTTAACAGCTTAAGGCTTCGGTGCTGGGAGCATGGCAGCACTCCGTGAACAGCTGTGACGTAAAGTACCAGGGTCATAAGGTGACAGCAGGAATGATGGACAGGAGCAAACATCCTGATATTGGAATGGCAGGTTTCAGGGTGTTTTCTTCTGTAGCAGGGTGGTTTCAGCCTTTCCTTATAGAACGTAAACAAATGCCAGTTATTCCCATCACTAGTTGAATGGTTGGGCTATTTCAGTAACAGAAACACTGCCGTTCTCACATTAAAGATGATGGAAATGAATGATTATATATGTGTTTTCACTAAAAGCAGCATTTTGGAATTGAAATGCTCCTGTTGTGAGGAAGAAATGTCTAAGGATGTATTTTTTTCAACAGCAACATCTGCGGAAGTGGATGGAAGTGGTGGTCCTCACCCATAAAGGGGGCCAGAGGAGCGACGGAAACGTGAGTGACTTGTTTGTTTCTGGGAAGGGCCACCCTGTCGGCCCTGCCACAGTCAGTGTTCATATCAGAATCTAGTTTTATATGATTGTAGTCCATTTAAATTGTTAAACATTTTATTAGCATTACATTTAAAAAATTTCTCTTGATTGCTGAAAACATTCTTTTTTTATGCTTCTTTAAAATCTCCCTTTGTTCACTTTAATATGACGTTTTTGTTGCTGAGAATTCTCGGAAGCTTGAAATGTTAGTATTTGAATTGTACTATTTTTGCGTTAAAGTGAACTAAGTGTATTTTCTAGACTGTCCTTGGCAGCTGCTGTTTGCATGGTGGTGCCCTCCTCTGCTGTTGTTTTCCATTGCTTTCCATCATCATTGCCTCATAAAACTAAGGAGTGATTTTAGGATTTCAAGCATTAAAGAGATTGTAATAAGACATTACATAAAAATAAAATAATTTTATGTTTTCTAGGTCTAAATACCCCACCCCAGTTGTTTGGCAAAAGTCAAATGGCTAGTACTTCAAAACCCACATTTATGGTTTTGAGGGAAAACCACTTAGTTAAATCTTTTTGAGCATTCTATATTAGTCATTAAAGATTTTGCCTCTTAAAAATGAATGGTTCTTGTTGTTTTGACTCTAATTTTACTTGTACATGTTACTATTTCTTTAAAATATTTTTTAAGTTGGTGCTTGTCCTGTCAGTGAGGTTGTGTTTTGCCAAGTTTCTGTTTTCTGGTGCCATTGTGTCCTGAGGAGGGAATTCTGCAGCTCTGCAGAGGCATAGTTAACGTGGCTTTTTGTCCTCCTGTGCCTGTTTGTCGGATGCTGTGTTTCATCCCAACTTGATTTTTTTTTTTTTTGGCTTTATATGCTTTGTTTTGACCATTCTGTGTCAAGTGTTTTATTTGTGTAAGTCTTATTTGTTTCTTGCTGCTTTTAAAGAGCAAACTAAGCAAAACTAAACCAGGATTTTTAACTTTTTTAGGATTGGTATACCATCCGTGACCTCTTTGAAGGTTTGTTATTTATATAAACAGGAATCAAGTCAGGGAAACTTCGTGGGGGAGAGCAGAGTGTATTTTTAAACCCTAAGCTCTTGGAAGTAGGTGCAAGTGCTTCTGTGCTTTTCCTTCCCATCTTTCATCTCTTAGGTATTTTTGCTGTAAATTTTATATTTGTCTTCACAGTAAACTGTTAATTATCTGAAACACACAGCCATTCCAGAATAAACATTAAAAAAACCTCGTGGGTAGATGAATGACTTACGTTAGATCAAAAAGATTCCACAAACTTTTACATCAAGTTGTTTGGAAGGGTCCGGGGTGGGGGCACTGCATAGGGGACGGAGCGGTGGGTGTCGGGAAGTCCTTGCTCCTGCTCAATGAAACATGTTGGTTGTCGGATGAGTGTATTCCCTGAGCTGCTTGGGAACACCAGCTGTGTGAGAGAGGCCCCAGGTCTGAACCCAGGACATGGTGTTTGGGATCCACAGGCAGCATGGCCATGGCTCCATCACCTCAGTCCAGGGCCAAGCCTTGCCTTTCTGCTCTTGAGCCCTGGTTATTTTTTATGCATGTGGCCCAGGATTGGCAGTAGATCTTGGAAAGTAGTTTGTTCCTATTTGGTCAAATCACCAAATAATATTGCCTCATTGAGAAACTATAACTGAAGACATGTTAAATAGTTGACTAAAAATAAAGCTTTGTAATGCTGGGCACCCCCAATGATCAGAGATTTGTACATCATCATGTTTAGGAAAGCTTGCCTGTTTAGCATTGAACTTACAGGGCAGAACTCATGGCATGTTATGCCATGTCTCCACCCCCCCCCAACACTCATGCACGCATGCACAATACACATACACATACATCCAACATGCACAACACACATACACATACATCTAACATGTACGCATACATGCAATCTTTACTTGACAAGATTGCTCAGGTATCCAGTCGTAGCCTGTGGGTTCTCCTGGGTGTGGGGTCTCAGACATGCCTACTGATGAGGCTTAAGCCCCCTGGTACTCTTCTAGAAGACTTTAGCTGGGAAAGAGGTTTTTAAAAATCTCTTAGCACTTCACAAAAAAGCTTAAAATATTCCCCCTAAACAAAAGAGTTATTTAAATGTATTTGCACACAGCAAAATCTTACAGTTTCTCCTCTAGACAAGAATTTAAAAATTCTGTATTTTAAAATTTGATGTATGGAAGGAATACACTCTATTCGACACTGTCAGAGGGCTGTGTTTGACATCTGAAGGGTGGAAGGTGTTTTTTGTTTGTTTTTTTGTTTTGCTGTTGAGCAATTACTAATTATTGTGTGCTTTCTGATAATTGTATCTTTACTGTCTTGTTTACCCCAATAACCCTGACTGTGTATGAGTATATGGGAATTTTTAATGTAAATAACATAAATAGAAAAAAGATGATTTTCCTCCCCATCCTCAGGAAAGCATTTCAGAGTGCGGGAGATGTTCCTTGTCTCCATTCTGTCAGTTTGAGGTGAGAACAACCTATTAAAAGTCAGTTTATGACTTGCAATGTGAAGAACAGTTTATATTTTCTTTTCTTTTCTTTTTACCTTTTTGTTGCATTTTTTCATGCTGTAATTTTTGTTTTGGTTCAGCCTGCCATGGAAGGGGTAGAGGTGAGAATTTCAGTGGAGGCGCAGGAGGGGGTCGTGGTCGTATTTGGTTTTGCTGTGACTTGTGGTTCTGTGGTGGACAGAGTGCATTGTGCCTTTGAGTGCAGTGAGCCGTATTGTCTGTCTGTGGCAGAGTTATATTAGTATCATTGCTGTGAACTGTCTGGGTGTCACGCATGTTTTCTTTTTAGGATGTTTTAAGCAAGATTCTAAGTTCTTTGGTTTTCTACATGTTAGAATATCAGCATCTCAATATTTAAGATTTTGTTGGATTTTGCTGTCATAGTTCGTTTGAACTCATACATCTAACAACCTCTGGAGAGGAAACTCCACAAAGAATATATAATCCTGCTAGAAATTGGGAGGTGTGATACAGTTACACTGACGGACTGTCTTGAATTTTAGAACCTCCTTGCTCCCCTGCACCCAGTCCCCTGCATCTCTTGTTCACACACACACACTGATGTAGTGACAACACTGTGACTTTGAATAGACAAACTCTAAGGTTTCCCTCTTCTGTAAAATGGGGATGAGTGATAATACGTCATTTCCTATCTTCTGATGGAATGGGAAGGCCAAAAGAAGTGATTTTGTAACAGTGCTTTGAAAACAAAAAACTATAATATAAAACCATTACTAGAATGTTATTCTAATTTCAGGATAGAACTTGTTCTGTCCCAAGATTTGAAAAGACTGTAGACAAGAACTCTAGAGGTGGTATGGGTATGAGGTGACAGTGAGCTGATTTTTCTCATTTCTTACCCATCTCACTATTTTGCCTTTTGGTTTAAAGAGGCTTTTGAAAAAATATCTCAAATGCTGTGGGATGTGGTCCCTCCCGACTAGTGTTTATCATCCCCATTTTACTGTGTTTAGAGTAATGGACAACCTATTGCACACCACGCAGGGGGGTGCATCAGGGAGTCTTCCCTTCTGTGCTCATGGGGATTTCCCTAGAATCGCAGACACGAAATTGGGGGAACTGAAAACGAGAAGGGAAAGTTGGATTGGCACTCAGTAATCGGCCACTGAGCTGTTAGCACATTTAAAAATGCAAAATGCTTGGTGTTTCTCATTTTTCACTAAGATTCAATAAAAGCAGTTGTCAGCTTTATTTTATACCTGGTTGACAAATAATTGGTGCCATGGCCAGTCATTTATTTACATTGATATTTGATTTCCAGGGTAAATACTTAAGTATTTTTTGAGGACTTTGTGCTAAGTTTTGAGGGCAAAATAAGTCTTTGCCTTCAGAGCTTAGTACATTGGGAAGACCCATGATGTCACAGCAAACTGAGGGAATCCTTCCACTTACAGCCATAGGCATGGTCACCCCCTCCTCCATGAGGGGCCTAGGCAATCATCAGGCCACTTCCAACACTAGTCAGAGTGTGAGAGACAAACAGCCCAGTCACGCCAGGTGCACAGTCAGCCCCCCCATCTCCTCGAGATGAAATATGAAGGCCAAGGGCAGTTAGTTTCTTTAGGCTACAGCTATAATGTGGGATTGGTAAGTTGTGCTTTTTACATGTTAATTCTTTGCTTCTGGTGGCTAGCCTTGCAGATGCAATTAGACCATAGTATGGTCTGTAGTAATTTTGATATTTCTAGCTAGTGAAATTAATTGGCCTACTTTGTAATTTCTGATTTTCTTCATTAGGAAATGAAAATTTGTTCAGCAATTATAAACCTTTTTCATCTGATCCCAGCTGCACCTCAAACTCTGGTCAAGCCTTTGTTAGAGGTTGTGATGAAAACAGAACGGGCTATGTTGATTGAGGTAATGGTCAAATATAGGATTAATTCTGATTCTTCCTCCATCTGTTGCTTATAATATTTTCACTTTGTTATATTTTAGATAGACTAATCTTAAAAATATAAAGATGTTAGATAATACTATTTGCTATGGTTGTTAGTATATAAACAGTTACAAGGGGGAGAAATGTATACTTCTAGCCCTGGCTGCTAGCTTAGTTGGTTAGAGTGTCATTCCAATACACCCAGGGTTGCAGGTTCAGTCCCCCACCAGGGCACATATAAGAATCAACCAATGAATGCATGTATGAGTGGAACAGCAAGTCCATGTTTCTACCTCTCTCCCCCTGCCTCCCCCAAAAAAGAAAAGAAATGTATACTCCTACGATGTTAGGTTGGTAGACCAACAGAAGCCTCAAGCCCTGAGAAGATGTTTTAATCATGTATTTTCTAGGCTGGCAGTCCCTTCAGAGAGCCTCTGATCAAGTTCCTGACTCGGCACCCTTCCCAGACAGTGGAGCTGTTCATGATGGAGGCAACATTGAATGATCCTCAGTGGAGCAGAATGTTTATGGTAGGAGTGCGAGGAGCTGGAGTTGGGTGTCCCTGCAAATTTTTGTCAGCCAGTGTACTTTCAGAATCTGAAATTCATATCTCACTGTTCACTGTCAGGCTTTCATTTTCTCTAATATATTTGAATATTGGAAACATCACTGTTGTGTATATAAAGAGCTCAAGTCCAGGAATCCCTCTCTGTAGATTTTGGTGGTGGTAACTAGTGAATGAGCTGCTAGGATTATCAGAATCAGAATCATAAAGTGTAATTACTGGTAAAAAAGCATTTAAAAAAATTTTAGAGTACATTTATTAAAAGCTGGGGACAGTGAAACAAGGAAGGGCCTAGGATGGAAGAAGCAGCAGGAGAGGGAGTAGGTGGGGAAATGAGCCTAGGCTGGGCTGCTTTGGCTCACTAAGAAGTCAGAGAAAAGGGGGTCTAGGGGACAGGGTCAGGGGGTTTGCCTGGGATGAACTGCTGCGGCCTATTCCTCCCTTGGATGCAAGTTTAGGAAATGCATGCCTGTGGGAGGGGAAAGGTGCACAGTGTGCTGGGAGGGAGAGCTCGCACCAAAAAGTATTTTTTAAAAAAAAAGCGTATTTACAGTGTTGTTTTTTTAGCCTGCCTAGAAAGATTTAGAAAGAACCTTAGAGTTAATACCTAAATCTTTTATGATTTTTTTTTTATTAGCTTAGAACAGCTTGTTTTATTTTGTTTTTAGAGTTTTTTAAAACACAAAGATGCCAGACCTCTGCGAGATGTGCTGGCTGCTAACCCCAACAGGTTCATCACTCTGCTGCTGCCCGGCGGCGCTCAGACGGCCATGCGCCCTGGCTCGCCCAGCACCAGCACAATGCGCCTGGACCTTCAGTTTCAGGCCATCAAGGTAGTGTCTCTTCATTGGACACCTGAAATCCTAAAAGTTGAAACACAGAGAACCCTGCCAGTTCCCTAATTGCCTCTTCTTTGACAGATCATAAGTATTATAGTTAAAAACAATGACTCCTGGCTGGCCAATCAGCATTCTCTGGTGAGCCAGCTGAGACGCGTGTGGATCAGTGAAACCTTTCAAGAAAGACACCGGAAGGAGAACATGGCTGCCACAAACTGGAAGGAGCCCAAGCTGCTGGCCTATTGTCTGCTGAATTATTGCAAGTGGGTATACATGTGCTTTATATCAAGTGACTTAATTTATCCAATAAGCAGTGTTTACTTATTTGCGTATAGTGTGGTTCATTGATATAGAGAATGGTTATGACTTAGCTGTTTAAAACAAGTTAGGAAGTTTTCCACAATTTAACCTATATTCTTATTCGACCCTTCAGAAGGAATTATGGAGACATAGAATTGCTGTTCCAGCTGCTCCGAGCCTTTACTGGTCGTTTTCTCTGCAACATGACATTCTTAAAAGAGTATATGGAGGAAGAGATTCCCAAAAATTATAGCATTGCTCAAAAACGTGCCCTGTTTTTTCACTTTGTGGATTTCAGTGACCCCAACTTTGGAGATGAACTGAAAGCCAAGGTGAGTCCCGCTGTTGCACAGCAGAAGCCATGGGTTTTGAGCTGATATTCTAGGGAACCAAGGACACTGTTTATGTTCTGTAGTGTCTCTGTTGACACTTAAATAATAATCTGGACCATTTATGAGGAAAATGCCATTGTTGAGAAACATAAGAGATTCAACAGTGAACCAGTGTTGGAAAGAAGTTTGTTAGTTACATAGCTTTTACTTTTTTAAATTGAATTTATTGGGGTGATATCTACACTAATAAAAGAGAAACATGGTAATTAGCGTACGACCGCTACCCTTTTCATTGGCTAATCAGTGAGTATATGCAAATTAACTGTCAGCCAAGATGGCGGCTGGAAGCCAGGCAGCTGAGAACAGGATGCTTGGTTGCCCCAGCGATAGAGGAAACCAAGGTTCCCGCCTGCAGCTGCGGGGCTCTGAGCTCCTGAAGCAACAGCTTCAAAAGATACAATGTTTCAATTATAGAAGCTAAAAGATGGCGAGTAATCTGCATACTCAGGCTCCAAGCGGTAGAGCGAAGCCAAACAGCCCTGAAGCCGAAGAGCAGAGAGGCCTCACTGCCCGGGGATCAGCAGAGCCGGGAGGCCTCCCTGCCCCGGGATCAGCGGAGCCACGAGGCCTCCCTGCCCTGGGATCAGTGGAGCCACGTCAGCGGAGCCGAGAGGCCTCCCCGCCCCAGGATCAGCGGAGCCGTGAGGCCTCCCGGCCCCAGGATCAACGGAGCCGAGAGGCCTCCCGGCCCCGGGATCAGCGGAGCCGAGAGGCCTCCGGGCCCCGGGATCAGTGGAGCCGAGAGGCCTCCCGGCCCCGGAATCAGCGGAGCCGAGAGGCCTCCTGGCCTGGGATCAGCGGAGCCTGATGGAAGCCCTGTGTGTTTATGCACCCTGGGGGTTCAGAGGTCCTGTCCTAGGCAGAGGCCTATGGCGAAATTTTCGACTCTGAGAAGCAGCCTACGGGCTGGAAGGCGGCTCCTCTGACCTCAGTGCTGGAGAAGACCATAAGCAGAAAACTAAAGAAACCGATTTTACATCATTTCCCAGGTGGAGAACAGTTGGCATGTAAGCCCCTGACCAGTGCCCAGCCTCTCCTCTGTCAGTCTATCTCACTCTTAGGTACCATGTTCTTTGTTCTCTCTTAACTGCAACTCATTTTTAAACTAGATTGCTTTTAAAAGAAGACTAAATAAAGTTTCCCTTAAGTTATTTAGGTGGTGCTGGGGCTGCTGGGGGCCTGATAGAAGACACAAACACGCAACGGGGGGCCTGTACCCAGCAGCCCCAAGGCCCGCCACCTTGGTGCTGGGGCTGCTGGGGGTATCAGAGACACAAACCCGCAGGCCCGGCACCCAGCAGACCCAAGGCCTTCGTGGCAGAACTAAGGAGCAGCAAGCCAAGCAGTAGGAAGCAGCAAGCAGGTGGGCAGTAACAAGGGAGGGGTCCCAGACTGCAAGAGGGCACATGCTGGGCTAAGGGACCCCCCACCCATCCCCAGTGCACGAATTTCGTGCACCGGGCCTCTAGTCCTATAATAAAAGCCTAATATGCTAAGTGTCCGGTCTACTGGTCAGCTATTCAACCAATCAAAGCATAATATGCTAATGATAGGCTAAGGCCGCTCAACCGCTCGCTATGATGTGCACTGACCACCAGGGGCAGATGCTCCAACAAGTAGGTTAGCTTGCTGCTGGAGTCTGGCCAATCGGGACTGAGTGACACGGCCTGGACATGCCCTCCCGTGGTCTTTCCCAGGCTGGCCAACCTCCCGCATCTCTCCCCGTCCCCGATTGTGCACCAGGCCTCTAGTTAGTTAATAAAATAATACAGGTTTTAGGTGTGGTTACTTTGGTTTTAGAAAATGACTTGTTGGAAGTGAGAAAAGTAAAACAAACTGACGTCTCTTTTCCTCAAGTTTTCAACCTACCTTTCCAATTGACCATTTGAATAAAAGTCAAGATTATCAGTTGTAACCTTGATTGAGTTTTAATTTTATGGGTTACAATATGACCAAACTTGTGGGCCTGCCCACCTTATTAAAGAAATAAAAGAACATGGCTTTGTTTTCCTTTTCCATTATTGTAAATTATTATTATTTTTTGTAGGTTCTGCAGCATATCTTGAATCCTGCTTTCTTATACAGCTTTGAGAAGGGGGAAGGAGAGCAGCTCTTAGGACCTCCCAATCCGGAAGGCGATAACCCAGAAAGCATCACCAGTGTGTTTATAACCAAGGTGACTGACTAGCAATATATTGGCTTGAAAAGTAACTTGGCAGATGAGAGAGAAAGAGAGAGAGAGAGAGTGTGTGTGTGTGTACACATACACGTGTGCAATGGGTTCATTGAAATAAGCTTATTTTCCTAAGGCTTTTATTTTTCCTGATTCCATTAGCTTATAGCAGTGTTTTTAAGGTTTATTTATTCATGGAGGGATAGGTTCTAAGCCCCCAGTATCTGATGCCTGAAACCGCAGATAGTACTGAACCATATATATATACTTTATCACAGGTATGTATAGGAAAAATATATATAGTTTATATATATATACACACACACACACACACACACACACACACACACACACACACACATATATACATATATATAGTTTTTCCTATATATACCTGTGGTAAAGTTTAATTTATAAATTAGGCATAGTAAGAGATTAACAACAATAACAATACAATAATTCTAACAATATGCTGTAATAAAATTATGTGAATCTGGTCTCTCTCTCTCAAAATATCTTATTGTACTGCACACCCTTCTCATGATGATGTGAGACCTATTCCTGATCTGTGTAATCACCATCTTTAATTGCAGTATATGGCCTGGTGTCATTTCAGGGGCTTCCATGCTGAAGTCTTCGTATAGGCTCAATGCTTTCTGGAACAACACATTTTCTGTTCATTTCTTCCACCCACAAATTTAATGCCTTTTCCATCTAAATAAGTACTTACCACACTCTGTGGCTAAAACTTTTGCATGATGTGCATTAGCAAAACTAGCATGAATTTCTTTTTACTTCTTCACAGTTTCACAGAAGACTCCTTCTTTCTGAAGATCTTAGCAACCTCAGCATATGATTTTTTTTTCTTTCCTTACTAAGTTGAGAGTTTTTACCTTTTCACCTAAAGGAAGTACTTTACTGCTTCTCTTTGGCATATCCAGGTTGCCAGCATCACTACTGTTATACCTTGAGACCATTATTAAGTAAATAAGGGTACTTTAACACAGGACTGGGATACTCTGACAGCTGATCTGATAACCGGATGGCTACTAAGTGAAATGGGCAGGCAGTGTATATAGTGTGGACAAAGGGATGATTTATGTCCTGGGTGGGATGGAACAGGCTGGCAAGAGATTTTTGTCATGCTACTCAGAACGGCACACAGTTTAAATTTATGAATTATTTCTGGAATTTTCCATTTAATATTTTCAAACCACAGTAGACTGTGGGTAACTGATATTGGGAAAAGTGAAACCATGGGGGAGAGGATGGACCTACTTTATTATAATTTTTTAAAAAAATTCTTCATTGTTGAAAGTATTACATATGTCCCCCTTTCCCCCCATTGTCCTCTCCCAGCCTGCCCCATCCCCCCAGCCCCAGCCTTCATGAATTATAATTCTTATTAGTGAATTTTTTAAGGCAGCTTCATTTGGAATAAATTAACTTTTTTCCCTTCATTAATAGATTCCAGTGAGAAACAATGTATCTCAATGAAAAATCAGATCTCAAAGTAATTTTATAAAAACCCCTATTGCTGGTCCGTAGAGTTTTGATTTTTTAAAAAAATATATTCTTATTTATTTCAGAGAGGAAGGGAGAGGGAGAGAGATAGAAACATTAATGGTGAGAGAGAATCATCGATAGGCTGCCTCCTGCAGGCCCCCTACTGGGGATCAAGCCCGCGCAACCTGGGCATGTGCCCTGACCGGGAATCAAACCCTGACCTCCTGGTTCATAGATTGACGCTCAACCTCTGAGCTATGCTGGCCCAGCAAGTTTTAATGTTGCTGTTTTTTCATCTTAAGGTTTGCAAAGGACTCTCTAAAAGCCAGTGAGAATAGTAGACTCGATACAGTTGCTGCTGTGACCCTTTATTGCCAACTTAATGAAACATCTTTGTGGCAGGATGATGTCTGAACTTAGCTTAGGCTTTCAGGTCTACATTTTTATAAGAGTGTTTATAGTTTGCCCTAAAGAGAATTTTGGGAAATGCCTGCCCTATTTTTTTGAGAAATGCCTGCCCTATTTTTTTTTTTTCACGAAGCCTGGGCTGTCCTCTGTAGGTTAGGCCTTTGAACTTCATGGGCAGGTGTGTTTGCCGTGAGGGTGTTAGCTTGTGTTCTGTGTGTGAGTTATTTGTTGGCGGGCTGTGAGCAACAGCCATTCCAGGGCTGCAGCGCACCATATGCACATTGATACTCTTTGGAAGGATACAGTGTTTTTACTCATTCTGCCTGTTCTGTTCAGGGGTCCAGGTAGAGGGGACTGTTGTTCCTATTGGCAGGTTATTGGTCTGTAGGTAGCATTTGTCTCTTCCTGCAGTTTTGACCCTAATTCCACCCTCCCAAGGTAATTCGAGCTGAGCCCAAGGAATTATTTCTGGTCTCCCTACTGACTCGTCACAAGGAGGAAATTCTGAATGTTGGATGAGGATAAATGGCCTTGGGGAGGCTGGAGCCCTGGGGAGGGGCTGCAATGAATTCAGGGGAAGGAAGACAGGGGGCTACAGGGAAGGAAGACACTGTTGTGATGGAAGATTTCAGTCTCTTAGATGTGTCTGTAGGCAGAAAGTAGGTAAGGGTATTTAGCTGAATTGGATGGTGCAGTTACAGTACTTGATTCAATAGAGACATGCAGAATATTCCTTAAAGAGTGTACATTTTTTATCTTATATCCATGAAACACGCACAAAAATCTATCAGATACTTGATTACATAGAAAACCATAACAATTTTTAAAAAAATAGAGATTTTTTTCCAGATAATGTTTTTTGATCCTCATACTGAAAAATAAGGACTGGATAATTAGTAGTTGGCCAGAAAAAAATCTCAACTGCTGGAAATAAGAAACTCAGTCCTGACTCACCTTGTATCAAAGAGGAAGTTCTTTCCCACATCAAGCCACTTTGCCCACTGCATTCTGACTGTAAGCCTGCCCCTTTTTTGCAGGTTGAAATAAATTCAGTGAATTTCTAATCCATATGTGTTAAAGGAAACTTGATATGTCATTATTGGGTTCCTCATTGGAAAACTTAATAATATAGATAAATGTAAGTATGTGTGTTTTTAAGGTTTAAACGTGTATGACCCTTAATAGGTAACACAGTTCAAAACCAGAAAGGAATTCCTTTCTGCTTGCCTTTCCCACAGGTCCTGGACCCAGAGAAGCAGGCGGACATGCTGGACTCCCTGAGGATTTACCTCCTGCAGTATGCCACGCTGCTGGTGGAGCACGCCCCCCACCACATCCACGACAACAACAAGAACCGCAACAGCAAGCTGCGCCGCCTGATGACCTTCGCCTGGCCCTGCCTGCTCTCCAAGGCCTGTGTAGACCCAGCTTGCAAATACAGTGGGCACTTACTTCTGGCACACATTATCGCCAAGTTTGCAATACATAAGAAAATTGTCCTGCAGGTACTTTGCGAGGCTCCCTCATGTCTGCCCAACAATTGGATGCATTTCCATAATTGTATACCATTGTGACCTCTCCTTTTCTGTTGACTTCTCCCAATGCCATTCGGTAATGCTCGTCTCTGCCATCTCTTAAAAACTGTGAAATCTCCCATGACTATTTATTCTCTCCTTCCTCCCCAGTTATTGCTCTGCTTGAGTTCCTCTGCAGCCTTGCTTTTAAAACAACAAAATGTCTCCTTTGTCCAGCTCATGCTCCTCACCTATTGCATTCTGGCTTTCAATTCTTCGTTCCATTGAAAATGTTTTTGTCGCCCTAGCCGGTTTGGCTCAGTGGGTAGAGCGTCGGCCTTTGGACCAAAGGGTCCCAGGTTCGATTCTTGTCAAGGGCACATGCCCAGGTTGCAGGCTCAATCCCCAGTGTGGGGCGTGCAGGAGGCACCCAATCAGTGATTCTCATCATTGATGTTTCTGTCTGTCTCTCCCTCTCCCTCCCTCTCTGAAATCAGTACAAAAAAAGAAAAAAATATTTTGGTCAAGGGCCCCAGCCCATTACTTTGCTATAGATCAGTGATGGCGAACCTTTTGAGCTCAGCGTGTCAGCATTTTGAAAAACCCTAACTTAACTCTGGTGCCGTGTCACATAAAGAAATTTTTTATATTTGCAACCATAGTAAAACAAAGATTTATATTTTTGATATTTATTTTATATATTTAAATGCCATTTAACAAAGAAAAATCAACCAAAAAAATGAGTTCATGTGTCACCTCTGACACGCGTGTCATAGCTTCGCCATCACTGCTATAGATAGTGGGTACTTTTGAACCCTCATCGTGTAAGCCCTCCACTGTGCTGATGATCTTGACCTGTCTTCCCTGAGCCCCTCAGTGATTTAGGCTTTGATGTCAGATAGCCCTGCGTTTGAGTTGTTTCTTCTACTAAGGAGTTCCATGACCCTGAGTGAGTTGGTTACTGTCTCTGTGTAAGAATTCAATGTAATAATAGACTTGAGTGCTCAGCCTATCTTTCCCTTTAAGCAGTTGGTAAGCAGTCGCTCTTGTCCTATTCTGTGAGGTCATTCTTTGTTTCCCTCTGACAACTACCTCTTGTGAATATCTGTGGTGTTAAACCCCGGCCCCAATAAAGCCAGTGGCCTCTCAGACATCACCTCCCACAGGCACTTGAGATATAAATACAGTCTCTGTGATTGGCACTGCTCTCCCCCAGTTTCCCAGCCGGAGATCTGAGGGCCATCTGTGACACCCTCTCATTCTGCCCAGCATGGAGGCATGGGCAAGTCCTGTTGATTTCCAAGACCCTTCCTGTCCCTTCACCCTCATCAGTACTATTGGGTGGTCTTTGTGTTCCCCTGATATAAGCACTTCACTGCTCACTTGAACTGTTGTGAGATGACCTCTGATCGTGGCCCCTTTCACTCCATTTTTTTATACTGTGGCCAGAGTGAATGACTGACTTCCCTTAGGTTATGGTAGACATTGATGTCTGCAGGGAGCTAGGTCTCATTCGTCCTGGAATATTCCACCCTAGCCAGGCATGGGCACCTAATAGGTGTGCAATCAGTATTACAATGAATGTATTCATTGATCAAAACTTAATGAAGGAGAAAGCAACTATGTTGTTTCCCAATAAGAGAGGTCTGAGGGATTTTTAAAAAATATGCCTTGGTTCTAAGAGATTGTTTTTATCTTGTTTTGAAAGCCTTTATTTTTATCGTAGGTAAGAATTTCTCTCTCGTTTTAGGTTTTTCACAGTCTTCTCAAGGCCCATGCAATGGAAGCTCGAGCAATTGTCAGACAAGCGATGGCCATTTTGACGCCGGCAGTGCCAGCCAGAATGGAGGATGGGCACCAGATGCTGACCCACTGGACAAGGAAGATCATTGTGGAGGAGGGGCACACAGTTCCTCAGCTGGTTCATATTTTGCACTTGATAGTGCAGCATTTTAAGGTACACAGAAAGGACTGCAGATTGATGTGTGATGTACATTCAGGCGTTTGCTTTAACATTTTGCCTATTTTTCAGTTTCTGCAGTAATAGGGGGTCAGTCTTTTAGTAGAGGTATTTCAAATCCATTGATTAGTGTGTATATGTGTGTGTGTGTGTATGGCTTTATCAACATGGAAATTGCTATAGTTTAGAGAATGTGTTAGGTGTATTTCTGTCTAGACTGCATTTTTCTTGTTAGTACTCTCATTTAACAGCGGATACACATAAATTGTTAACTTTCGGAGGCGTCATCATTAACTCTAGACTTTGGTAACTTGGCTAAAAAAGTTATTCTTGTTGCTGGCATCTCCTTGCTGTAGCTAAATTGCCCACTTTGTTGGATTTGCATAAATATGTAAATAATTTTTGTAAAATTTTGGGTAGAGGAGAAAGGATTTAGTAGTATTGAGCTGAAAGCTGTTACAGCTTTTAAATTGGGAATTTGCTTCTTGGCATGGCTAAACTATTATGATAGCAAGTGTTAAGTTTGATACAGATGACTAGACTTTTCTACCTAAAGAGAACTCAGTGTTTCAACATTAAAAAAAATTTTTTTTTATTGATTTCAGAGAGGTAGGGAGAGGGAGAGAGAAATAGAAGCATCAACGATGAGAGAGAAACATCAATTGGCTGCCTCCTGCATGTCCCCTACTGGGGATCGAGCCCGCAACCTGGGCATGTGCCCTGACCGGGAATCGAATTGTGACTTCCTGCTTCATAGGTCAGCACTCAACCACTTAGCCACACGGCTGGGTGAGTGTTTCAACATTTTAAAAAATGGAACTAAATCACTGAGTTACACTATTGTATTGGGACTTAACCAGAGATAGAGGAAGTGATAAACACATACATAAGGTAATGAGAATTTCCTCACTGAAGTTATGGTTGGCTTATGTGAGTATTTTGGGACCGAGGCAGGTTGTATGTGTATATATGTGCATGTGCATATGTGTTTATGTGTGTGTGGTCACAGCACAACGTCCCGGTGTGACACAAGCCCTGTGCTCACAGGTGTACTACCCCGTGCGGCACCACTTGGTACAGCACATGGTCAGTGCCATGCAGAGGTTGGGCTTCACACCCAGTGTCACCATTGAGCAGAGAAGGCTGGCTGTGGACCTGTCGGAGGTTGTCATCAAGTGGGAGCTCCAGAGGATCAAGGACCAGCAGGTAGAGATGTTAGCCCTCTTGTGTCATCCTTGATTGTATTCCTTACGCTTCTCTGCAGAAATTAGTAAAGTCAAATGTGTGTGTTTCTTAAGCCGGATTCAGATATGGATCCAAATTCCAGCGGAGAAGGAGTCAACTCTGTGTCATCTTCCATTAAAAGAGGCCTGTCAGTGGATTCTGCCCAGGAAGTGAAACGCTTTAGGACGGCCACAGGAGCAATCAGCGCAGTAAGATCATTGCACACACTGCGTGTGCTTCCTTTTATAGGTTCTGTGCTTCCTTGTGGGAGTGTGGTCACTTACTCAACAGACTCTGAGCGTGGGCTAAGTGCTCAGCACCGTGCCAGAAAGGCTGCACCCAACAGAGAGAAACCCAGTGACATGCTCCCGACTCAAGGTGTTTCCCAGTTAGCAGATGCAGTTTTCTTTGTGCCACTTAATATCACTAGAGTGCTGATGATCATAGTTAATGACTTGCAGAAAGGCATCAAGAGAAACTCTTTGGGGCAAGACAATTGATTGAGGACATGCACCCATGGTGCATTGAGTTTTAGAAAAGAGAGCATGTCCTGTTTTGTTTGGAGGGCAGCTGGGTACCAAAAGAGCCCCGTGGGTGCGAACTCTGCCTCCCACTCCCTCTGTTTCTCCGGAGCATGTGGCCCTGCATTCACCCTGTACTCAAATTAGAAACCTGGAGCTATCTGCAATCTGTCCATTTCCTTCTCTCCACACATCTGGTCAAGAGCAAATCCTGGCAGCCCAGCCATGAATACCTCACCCTCTGCTCAATTCTGTACCCACCATGGTGGTGCAAACAGACGCCTGGTCCCTTCTCACTGGGATTACTGAAACTGCCTCCCAGTTCCTCTCAGACCTTCCACTTTATTTCTCTTCATGACACTTTTAACAGAGCAGAGTGCCAAAAAACACTCTTTTCAAAATCCAAGCTAGGGAAAGCTGGATGAAGGGTACATGACACCTCTGTACTGTCTTTGTGGCTTCTTGGGACTATTGTAGTCATTTCACGTAAACACTTAAAAAATGCAGACTATCTTTTCCCTCACTAATCCTTTCCCTTGACGCTGGCTTTCAGTGCCTTTGTGACCTGCCCTTCTGATGGCCTTCATGCCCTGCACTTGCTCATGCTGCTGCAGCCGCGCAGGCCTTTCCTCACCTCAGAAACGCCAGTTCTGTGCTCGCTAGGACGTGTGCACTGGCTCCATTACCTCTCGCTGGCTCAGTTCTCTCTTCTCATGGCTGCCTTTTTCTCAGTCGGAGAGGTACCTTGATAGCATCCTTTCACTTCCTGGACCACGCTCCCTTCCAGTCTTGCAAATGACCCATTGCTTTCTTTGTGGCTACTTTGTTTATTAGTTGTTCTGCCTCTGGTGTCCCTCTACCCAGAATGGCATCTGTTCCCTGTTATTGGGCTGCACAGGCCAGTGCTGTCCCCTGGAATGCATTGTTGAGAGGCTCTTTCTGTCCTTGTAGGTGTTTGGGAGGAGCCAGTCGCTGCCTGGAGCGGACTCCCTTCTTGCCAAGCCAATTGATAAACAGCACACGGACACCGTGGTGAACTTCCTCATCCGAGTGGCTTGTCAGGTGCGGGTTCTGAATGTCTTATATTAAGGATTTTTCAGAACAAAGTCTACTTGGTCAACTATAGAATGTTATCTGTGACAGCTTAGTAAAAAAAAAAAAAAAGAAAAGAAATAGACGAACCAAAGTCTGACAGGTAGTCTGGTACTTTCATACCAGATTTCATGAAATGCTGATAATTCTGAAGTCTGCCTTGTCTTATAATTTATATGATATTTACGAAATATTTTTTCTTTTAGCAGTGATAATATAATGGTATGTCTAATAATTAATGGAATTGTGGTGTTAGTGAAACATGGTAGTAGTTCAGTGATCTTCGGCAAATTATTTTAACTTTCAAGTTACATAGCTCATAAAGGTGTTGGGATAGTCCAACACAACATTTAGTAACTTAAATGCTTTTACACCCTGGATGGGTAGCTCAGGTGATTAGAGCGTCCTCCCGATACTCCATGGTTGAGGGTTCAGACTCCAGTCAGGACATATACAAGAAGCAACCAGTGATGCATAAATAAGTGGAGCAACAAATCTATGTTTTCTCTCTCTCTCTCTCTCTCTCTCTCTCTCTCTCTCTCTCTCTCTCTCTCTTCTCCTCTCTTCTCTCCTCTCTCCTCTCTCCTCTCTCCTGTCTCCTGTCTCCTCTCTCTCTTCTCCCTCCACCCCTCAAGTCAATAGATAAAATATAAAAAAAAATGCATTTATTTACCACTCATATCAATACCGGTTTTCATGGAGTTTTAGGGGATCTATTTCTGAAACTTCATTTTTATATTTCAAACAAACATTGCAAATGAAATTTTCCTGCGTTTTAAAAATTTGGTAATCTTACATTTTTATAACTATTAAACAAAATTGCAATACTATTGAGTATTGAGTATTGAGGCTTTCCAAGTACTGAAAGGAACCTACTAAACCAGCGATTTTCAACCTTTTTCATATCATGGCACACATAAACTAATCATTGAAATTCTGTGCATGCCAACAAATATATTTTTTTGCCAATCTGACAAATTAGGTATAATTTTGATTTAGTCATACCGGACGGCTGTTGCTGTGTTGGCTGTTGTCATATTTTTATTTGACAGTCTAATGGAAAACAGTTCAGTGCTCCTTACTAAGTAGTCAGATATTGCATGGTGTTTTTAAAAAAAATATATTTTATTGATTTTTTACAGAGAGGAAGGGAGAGGGATAGAGAGTTAGAAACATCGATGAGAGAGAGAAACATCGATCAGCTGCCTCCTGCACATCCCCCACTGGGGATGTGCCCGCAACCAAGGTACATGCCCTTGACCAGAATCGAACTCGGGACCCTTGAGTCCGCAGGCCGACGCTCTATCCACTGAGCCAAACCAGTCAGGGCAGATATTGCATGTTTTAAAGATTCTTGCCTGGATGGTGTGGTTCAGTGGTTGAGTGTCCACCCATAAATCAGAAGGTCATGGTTTGATTCCCCGTCAAGGCACATGTCTGGTTTCTGGACTTGATCCCCAGCAGGGGAGGTAGAGGAGGTAGCCGATAGATGATTCTCTCTCCTCATTGATGTTTCTATCTCTCTCTCTCCCTCTCTCTTCTTCTCTCTGAAATGAATAAAAACATTTTAAAAAATTCTTGTGGCACAACAGTTGAAAATCGATGTACTGAACTATTCAATCACTACTTTCTTGCCTGTTGCAGTGTGCTGGGCACAGCTTAGGTCAGTGATGGCGAACCTTTTGAGCTCGGCATGTCAGCATTTTGAAAAACCCTAACTTAACTCTGGTACCGTGTCACATATAGAAATTTTTTGATATTTGCAACCATAGGAAAACAAAGATTTATATTTTTGATATTTATTTTATATATTTAAATGCCATTTAACAAAGAAAAATCAACCAAAAAAAATGAGTTCGCGTGTCACCTCTGACACACGTGTCATAGGTTCGCCATCACTGGCTTAGGTGATCCAGAAGGGAGGAACATGGATCCTTGCCCTCAGGGAGCCTCTTGACACTAATCAATCAATCACACAAATGGTTGCAAATCACCACTGACCCAATGTAACGGAGTGGGAGGGTCCCTGCAGCCGAGAGGGCTGAGTTGAGTCAGGTAGGAGAGGAGGGGGCTGTGATGTAGACAGCTGGGATGCAAGGGCATGGGGCATGGGCAAGAAGCAGTGTCACAGGAATGACTAAACATGTATGCAGTGAACTGTGGGCTTGAATGAATGAATTTCCAGGTTAATGACAACACCAACACTGCCGGGTCTCCTGGGGAGGTGCTTTCTCGCCGGTGTGTGACCCTCCTGAAAACTGCCTTGCGACCGGACATGTGGTCCAAATCTGAGCTCAAACTGCAGTGGTTCGACAAGCTGCTGATGAGTGTGGTAAGTGTGGTTGCCTGGGCTTGGGGCTGGGCCACCAAAATCTGAATCTTCCATTTCTTTGTCCAGTTGTGGCCCCTTCCACTTTGTCTGCTGGCTGCTGTTGACCTTAAAAATAAATAGTTGTTTTACCAGAGAATAGCAGAGGAATTGCAAGCTGTAGCAAAAACCATAGGGCAAGTCCAGCAAGCAAAGGAGAGGAACCTGACTTTCTAGAGCAGTGGTTCTCAACCTTCCTAATGCCGCGACCCTTTAATACAGTTCCTCATGTTGTGGTGACCCCCAATTTCATTGTTACAAATTGAACATAATTAAAGCATAGTGATGAATCACAAAAACAATATGTAATTATATATGTGTTTTCCGATGGTCTTAGGCGACCCCTGTGAAAGGGTTGTTCGACCCCCAAAGGGGTCTTGACCCACAGGTTGAGAACCGCTGTTCTAGAGGAAAAGAAGGAAAATGAGAGGGATTATTTTGAACAAAAGTCTGTTGGGATAGAGGAGATCGAGAGTTTAGGGTGGTGATTGATTCTTGTTGGCTAAGTTGCCAGGCAAGGAAGGAACTCTTCCTGCTGGAGTAATAAGGTAGTGTGCTTTTTTTTTTCCTGTTGAGCTCTGTATTTGACAATTCCTATTGGGGGGTCTATAATTGAAGAGTGGTAGAGTAGTGCCTGAGGGCTCCCCCTCCTGGCCTTTTAAATGAGGTTTTATTTTATTAATTTTCATATTGCTAGTGAGGAGGGAATTTCACTTCCAGAAAATGGTTTTAAAACTTCAGCTCTCACCCCCCCCCCACAAGTGCAGTTAGTTTTGAAAACGTAATAGTCCTCTTGCCTTTTGAAGTCTCATTTTTTTAAAAATATATTTTTATTGATTTTTTACAGAGAGGAAGGGAGAGAGATAGAGTTAGAAACATCGATGAGAGAGAAACATCGACCAGCTGCCTCCTGCACACCTCCCACTGGGGATGTGCCCGCAACTCAGTACATGCCCTTGACCGGAATCGAACCTGGGACCCCTCAGTCTGCAGGCCGACGCTCTATCCACTGAGCCAAACCGGTTTCGGCATGAAGTCTCATTTTTTAAATTGACAAACTGGCTGGCTTGAAATAAACATTTTTAGTTGATTTATGAAACAGCCTTTAAAGTAAACTGGAATTTTTAAAGCAGGTGGACATAGAATTTGTTATTGAGCACTGTATAGTCAGGTAACAAAGAAATGACTCCTGCCCTAGCTGGTTTGGCTCAGTGGATAGAGTATTGTCGGCCTGCGGACTGAAAGGTCCCAGGTTCAATTCCGGTCAAAGGCACATGCCTGGGTTGTGGGCTCAATCCCCAGTAGGGGGCGTGCAGTAGGCAGCCGATCAATGATTCTCTCTCTCATCATTGATGTTTCTGTCTCTCCCTCTCCCTTCCTCTCTGAAATCAATATATATATATATATATATATATATGTATATGTATATATATACACACACACACACACACACACACATATGTAAAAGAAATGACTTGCAATGTTAATTATTTGATGGGTGCTGTTTTGTTTTGTGGGTTTTTTTGTTTTTGTTTTTAATATATTTTTATTGATTTCAGAGAGGAAGGGAGAGGGAGAGAGAGATAGAAACATCAATGATGAGAGAGAATCATTGATCGGCTGCCTCCTGCACGCCCCCTACTGGGGATTGAGCCCACAACCCACGCATGTGTCTTTGACCGGAATTGAACCCGGGACCTTTCAGTCCACAGGCTGATGCTCTATCTATCCTCTGAGCCAAATTGGCTAGGGCTTGTTTCTTTTTTAAATTAATTAATAAAAATTTTTTTTTGTTTATTTTTCCTTTCTTTTAGGGCTTGTTTTTATAAAAACCTCGATCCTATAATTTTCTGGGGGTTGCTATCCTATTGTAAGCATTTGCTGTTTTGTGTTGCGAAGATTAACATTGTTGCTTAGGGTTTTTGAAAGGTTACAGAGGTAACCTGTGCAATGAACACAGTAGGATCATAGGCCCTGAGTGTCCAGCTCATGCTATGATTCCAGCCTAATGTATAACTTATGGACTGTCTGCAGGTTTCTTTCCTTTTTTTTCTTGTTGGAAGGTCACATTTCTTTCCTATCACATACAGTCACAGTTGAATCAGTCACGCTCAGTCATAAATGGACAGCTGCTGCCGGTACACAGGCTAGCAGTTTCATAGCACAAGGCCCTGTGCTCACAGTGACTTGCACCTCTCGCACAGTCAGTTAGCTTTTACTCACAGCCCCATGCATATACATACAGGCATAAACCACAGAGACAGAAGTTTCACGAAGCAAACCATGGACTCTGTTTTCTGTTTTTTATTTTTGTTTTTAATTCTGGCATCATCTCTTAGATTGATTTCATGATAGAGTTTCAAAGATATTTCCTTTTGGAAGAATATTTGCATTTTAACTAAAAAGGTGGAAGGAGACAAGCAAAACACATTGTAATAACTGCCTTTTTAGACCAGATTTCAGTGATTTTCAAAATTTTAACATTTAATATTGAATATTTTTCATGAGCTTTTGAAACAGTCTTGACTAAATATTTAAAGCAAATTGATTAAAAGAAACAAAATCCTACTCTATTAATAAAATATGGTGGTCACATGTTTTTATACATATCGTGTGTTCATTCTTAGTGATTTTTGACTTCACTTCTAAGTACTTGGTAGCACGTAGCTTTAAGTTTTGGTTGACTAATATAGCTTACTGCACTAGAGTATTTCATCCGTGTGCGACCTGTGTTCTCCCTTTCCAGGAGCAGCCTAATCAAGTGAACTATGGAAAATATTTGCACGGGCTTGGAAGTGCTGAGTTTCTTGCTCACTGTTCTCCAGTCTCCAGGCCATCCTCAGTAGCTTCAAACCCCTGCAGCGGAATCGCTGCCTGTATGACGTGTGGAAACACCAAA